TTTATTAACTCACATACCTGATCAAGTTAGAGAGCAAGGCAGTCTTGTTCACAGTTCTGCTTTTGTTTTCGAAAACAATATTTTCAGATTGAAAACCTCATTTCATGGTAGCAGAGGTCAAGTGAAGCAGATGGCAAGGAATTATGCAACCAGAAAGTCTATGTGTCTTCTAACAAGACTTTCCGATCTCAATTCGAGAATCAATCATTTGATTTCTATTCCAAGTACATTGATAGGAGATCCATTGAACGACCATGCCATGGATAATCGTTTGAATCGTAAACTGATATCTAGATACGGCCAGCAACAAGCTGAAATTTATGAATTTTATAGCCGCGCTAAAAAAGGGAAAACGATTTACCACTCTCTTCAATACACATATCGACGAGATTGCAGAAGCTACTACTTCTGTCACAAAAATAGCTCAGGCTCATTCAGCTATGGACAGATTCTTTCTTTTATTAAAGTACCAGCTGAAGTTACACACCATGGCCATGTTGAGATTCTAGTTTGTTTTAATCCAATGACTGTAATAGATCATTCTGGTCTATTCAGCGGTCTCAGTTCTGTGAGATCAAGTCATTTCAAATCCATTATTAATATAGCGAAAGATATTCCTCTATTCAACAAGCTAAAGCTCACTGACAAAATTGAACTGGTGACGCTCGCTTCAGTACATTCAAAGGCCATAGTATATAATGAGTCAAACGACAGTAATATCTTTTGGGGAACAGCACTTGATTCTGCGTATGAACATGACTAAATTTATCATGATATTACCGTAATTTTGACAAGATTAAAATTAATAAAATGTTAGAAAAATTAATCATAAATCATATCATGTCCATGTGTAATTAATTTCCATGTAAGTCAAACCCATGTATCTGGTCATTTACAAGGAAAAACATTTGTATTTAAAAACTACTATGGCCACACAAATACTATTAAAAAATCTTAGATAGTTTCTTTAGTGGCCAAATTCATATTTTCAGCGCCATAATTTTGCATGGTAATTGTATCATTCTTATATGGCATGGGCCTACTTATATTCATCAAGTTAACTTGAATGATACTGCTCTAAGTATGGCCATTGAAATGACATCCATACTGTTTCAACCCGGGATTGCAGGTTCACTTTCAGGTCCAGAGTCAGCTTCATTGTATGCCATAACAGAAAAACTGTATTCTGTGTGAGGTGAAAGAGCAACGATCAATCCATGGTTATGAGTACCACGATGAAGCAATGTAAGAGCCTGTCCCGTTCTCCAGTATCTCACTCGATGACCAATAAATTAGCCAGTTAGCTCGAGTTCGCTCGAGAGGTGCCCATGAAACATTGAGTCCAGTTGAATTGAAGGGAAAAGCTGTTACCAAACTTGGTTGAACTTGAGGCATACTTTCAGCTGAATGGACTTCTTTTGGTTCGCTAACTGGACCTTCTCCCATTCTGTTGATTGCTTGTACTTTGACCAGATATTTTTAGTAATTGTTTTCCCAACATCTATTACATGTACATACATTCCAACTTGACTTTGATTCAGCTCTTTAGTTTGATAATCATAGTCATATTCATTTGATAGTTTCCAGTAAATTTTGTACCAAATAGAAGACGAATTCCAATCTTGTGGAGGTAATGGATCCCAAGTTACTGTCAAAGTACCTGCTTTTCCTCCTCCTCCACCAACATTCACTGGCGCTCTTAAGTGCCGATTTTCTCTCGTTTTATATTGTGGGCTGGCATCTGAAGGCAACCCTGACCCAAGTTCATTCAAAGCAGACACTCTAAACTTGTAAACACTCCAAGGAGATTAATAGTGAAATCGAAAAGTAATGTAAGTACAAGGTAAATAAATCTGAAGACTTCAAATTATTAAACTTTCGAGAATCGATGATTTTTACTTTTTGGCAACTTTAAGTGGTTAGTTGCCTGGATTTGCTTTCAACCAACTGATGCAGGATAAATATTGTATCAACAAATATTCAATCAATGAAAGTGTCTGTTTAAACTTGGAAAATGCTGGACCTGAATATGATACAGTTAGGAATGATGTATTGAAAGACGCTTCAACACTTAAAAACCATGTCTCTCTAATGACAACAATACCAGCGATAATTTTATCCCTCATTTTGGGTTATTGGATGGATAAATATCCTGGTCATCTCCGGTATCTTTCTAGTGTAGCATCTTTAGCAATCGTCTGTCAAAACATTATGATTATACATCAATGTCTACATTTTGAAATGGGTAAGTAAAGGGTGTTTCAATAAATTGCTCAACGAGCTTCATTGGCCATAGACAAACGTACAATTATAATAGATCATAAATTCGAGAAAACAACACCGTATGATAAGTCAATACCATTTAAATCTGACTGACAAGGGAACATACCCAAGTATGAAATCGATATAGAGATTTTATTGGTCGCTATCGGCACATTAGACTTTGGTGAAGATAAATATAACGAAGTTAGCTGCTATCTTTTCGATTTCGGTTTATCGCCTTTTTTCTTAAAAATTTTGTATGCTTTTCTATGAAGATTTGTGAGTTCATTTTTAAACTTTAGAATGTTGAAACAGAAACCTACTTTTTATTGCACAATCAGAGTGTTAGTTAGATACATTGAATAAAAAAATTCAAATCCTCATAGAAAAGCATACAAATTTTTCTAGAAAAAAGGCGATAAAATGCCGCAATCGAAAAGATAGTAGCTAACTTCGCTATATTTATCTTCATCAAGGTCTAATGTGCCGATAGCGACCAATAAAATCTCTATATCGATTTCATACTTGGGTGTGTTCCCTTGTGGGTCTAAACTCACTGGATTGCATTGTTTTCCGTAATACAACTAATGAGCCAACTGAGCTGCTATTGTGACGAACCAATTGTGCTATTGTGTATTTGAGCAATCTTAACAACTTATCAGCAGCATACATGTAATTGATTAGGAAGCTACACTGTAAACTGTTCAACTATAGTATTACCATTTGACACTAAACGTTTATCTTTTAGGCGCTGACACATTATTATGGGCAAATTTGGTAACAGCTTTTACTGGAAGCGGAATAATTATTGCGTTAGGAACCTTTACTTATGCTACAAGGAAGACACCAGCCAAGTTTCGAGCTGTTAGGTTTACAATCATCGAACTTTGCTTATTTGCTAGTAAGTTATATCTTTTCAATCAAAACTTATAATTCGAATTGTAAATTCTTGATGTTTAGATGCTTAATAATGTTATTATACTCGAAATTTTTATCGACAGCAATGCCTACTGCAAGTCTTTTGGCTGGAGGTAAGCTTGAGTCTAAACCATGGTTTTCGAGCCAGCTTCGTAACTATTAATACATTGGAGTTTATATCATTTCATCTGTATTAGCGGTTATTGCAGCTGTTTGGGTTATGTTGATGCTATATGACGCTGTTGACGAGGAGGTTAAAACAGATGAATCTCAACTAAATGTCGATGCATCAAGTTCAAAAAATAATGAAAGCAAGAAGAAAAAAGTGAAACAAATAATTTATGACGTAATTAAACCAGATAATATCCTTCATTCAGGTCGCACAGTTTTCAAAAGAAGACCAAATAATGCTCATTGGTATTTGATTTCAACAATATTGAGTGGATTTATAGCAAACATTTGTTATTCTGATAAACAGTACATAGGCACACACACACACATACCAGTTTAATCAAAAAGTACCATCATCGGTATATCATTGGAGTGCTAAACAAATGGGAAATTACGGATCTGTTTTCATTCTTTTCCCTGCTTTGGGTACACTTATTGGTCCTCCTCTATTCATAAATGTAATGCATCTTCATGATACTACATTAGCCATAATTGGCATTGTTTCAATAATGGTGGCTTTTCTTGCCAAAGGTTTTATTCTGAGTCCCATAGCCTACTTTTTCATCATATTCGGTAGCTTCTCTGCTGTCATTTCTCTTGCCGATCGATCAATTATTTCTCGAATGATTCACAAAGACGAGATTGGTCGTGTTTATGCATTTTCATCAGCTATTGGAGGATTTTCTTCAACAATTTCATCAGTGTTTTACACCAAAATATTTACAGCAACATTGGACTACAATCCTGGTCTTGTGTACATAATTGCTGGTTTATTATTCGCCATTCCTTTAGCTAACTATATTTTGTTGAACATAAAGAAGCAGAAATGGGATTTAGTTTTGATTGATGAAAAGGAAAAAGAAACTCAAGAAAACAAAGTTTAACTTAAACCAGCTAAAAAATAACGAATTACTAATTTCCTTACCCGGACTTGTGGAGACAACTTTGAGGCAAATAACAGTATGGTTAGTGCATTCGATTTGTAACATATTCAATCAATTTTAAATTAAGAATAAAAATACGATGCAAAGGGGTATGTAAAGCAAAATCTCACTTCTGTTAAACTTTTTCAAATAGTGATTTTCTGACAGAGCTTGTTGAAAAACTAGGTTTAACTTGAAAATGGGCATTGTGAGTATTGTGGTTAGGCCACAATTAAGGTCGAAACTTAAACCTTTTTCGAGTCATATCTTAGCAACCAAACATGATAGACGGCTGAAACTGAAGATATGTCATTTTCTGATATGCAAACATTCATATACAAAAGCTGAAGGCTGAAAAATGATGCTGTCGTTATATTGGATTTCGTCTAGTCCACATGAAGTGTTGGAAACAAACATCTCAAGATTACTTATTCTTTATTCGACAGTACAAAGTCTTGATCTTTTGCTATATTAAAGAACTAATAATTCTGTGTGATTTTATGCTTGTTTTATTTAGATCTGTTGTTCCTAAGCGTTATTAATGCGTTCCGTTTATTTCAGACCGTTTATCGGTGTTTATGGAACCAGTGCGTAAACGGCTCTCATCTTGCGTAGGGCTATTGACCAAATCAAAAGATACATTTTGAGACATTGAAAAAGATTGTAGAGTTTGATCTGTCGATTTAAAAACCAAAAAAGCGGAAAGTGATTCACCTGAATAACTTGACAACAGAATGAGTGAGAGTCTCGAACTTTTGTATATGAATGTTTGCATATCAGAAAATGACATATCTTCAGTTTCAGCCGTCTATCATGTTTGGTTGCTAAGATATGACTCGAAAAAGGTTTAAGTTTCGACCTTAATTGTGGCCTAACCACAATACTCACAATGCCCATTTTCAAGTTAAACCTAGTTTTTCAACAAGCTCTGTCAGAAAATCACTATTTGAAAAAGTTTAACAGAAGTGAGATTTTGCTTTACATACCCCTTTCGAGTAAAAAATAAGAAAAGAATGTCATAAAAATGTCAGACCAATGGATATAAAAAGAAAAGAAAGCAAAAAGAAGTCAGTCTCTAATTTAAGTATGATTTGGAAAATATATCTACTTATAATACATTATGTATTGTATACTTTATCATAAGTAAAAGTAAGAATTTTTAACCTAAGTTGAAATGCATCGAAGTAAATTAATGCAAATTGACTTGCAAAGTGAAGTTATTTTTCCCATTTAATTTTGCCATAGGTCTGACAGTAAATGTCAATATGTTCTCCTTTTTGCCTTTTCTTTCTCCTCAATTTCCCCCCTTACAATTATGACGGTTCCACCGAGAGGTCTTTAAAGCCTCAACTCACCAGAACTTTTGTTATTTTTGGAACCAACTTGAACTCTTTTAGAAATCAGGGAACTCTTTGATTTGAACTTTGACTTTGAAACATTTTTTGTGTTTGTTATCAACTATAGCCAACATAACCAATTTTCCTATCTCAATCATCTCGAACTGAAATCCATTATTCACCAGCATAGACGATTGTGTATCTACTTGGTTTAACCATCACATTTATCAAATTGACAATCAACCATTTTACCCTACTCCAACTTCACTCATCATCATTTCGCTTCACACCATCTTTTGTTATTGACATTTTTTTCACCTTTACTAAATCAGTAAACCTTTTGACGATTTTCTGGACAATACCAAATTTACCATCAATCATTAACCTATTCAACTACATTCATCATTCCATCAACTATTTCCATTTTGCTGTATCAAAAAGGTAAGTTAGGTCTGACAACCTCTTTTTGTATCCTTCCACGCATGTTTCATTGAATTTTATCCTTTGATTGATTGTAACTGCTTATTATAAGTAAATGCCAGATTCGGCAACTTCATCCGATATTCCTGATCAACTTTCCGAAAGTCCCCTTGAAAGACTTTGTGTTTTGACTCCCGAAGAATTGAAAGCCATGAGATCTTAAATTTTAGTCCTCAGACCTCCGAAATTAACTCCTTTTTATGGGCAAATTTCAGCTCAGGTTATCAAATTTCTTGACGATTTCAATACATTTTCAAGTTCATATGAATGGACTGGCGAAGAAAAAGTGAAGCGAGTAGTTAATCATTTAGAAGATTCAGCTAAAGCTTGGTATAAGCAAGAGGTTCAACCAAAAGTTCAAGAAAATAAGATAACGTGGCCTGATTTTTAGAGCAGCTGGAACCTACGTTTTTACCATCAAAATATGAAGATTTTATTATTGAACAATTAAACGATCGAAAGCAGAAAAATAATGAGCCGGTTACAAAATTTATTATCGATGTAAAAGATCTCTGTTTTAGACAGAATGCCAATATGGAAGGTACAGAAATTATTTGGTATCTTTTTAGAGGAGTAAAACTGAGTCTAAAATCAGCTCTCTATGCTGCTAAGTCTACAACTGTTTCCGAATTCCGGGACAGTGCAAAAAATTTAGAAAAAGGAAATCAGTCTAGTTCTAGTGATGATGAACTTTCGAAATTAAAAGAAATGGTAAATGAATTATATGATGGACATAGAAATAGAACTAGATACCGTGAACCCCGAGTTTATCAGACCGCAATGTTGCAAAATACTAGAGCACTTGATAACCGCTCCGTCTGTTACTATTGTAATAAATCTGGACATGACCAGATCAATTGCCGTAAAAAGCAATATGGCTAACGAAATAATCAACCAAATCGACAAAATAATAATCAGCCTCGAAATTACACTCGGCCGAATTATAATGGTCAGCCCTTTCATAGGTCTGACAATACTTATGGGCAAAGGTACCTTAGGTCTGATAATACTTACGGTCCACCTTATCATAGTTCTGACAACTATTCCAATCAGCCTTATCATAGGTCTGACAACTATGCCGTTCAGCCTTATTATAGGTCTGACAACCATCCTAATCAGACTTACTCTAGGTCTGACAATCAATACAATTCAGCTCAAAACAGATCAAACCCAGTTTACTCTAGATCTTATTTTAACCAAACGATCTCAAGATTAAACTCTGAATTAAATTTACCCTCCAATACTCAACCAAAACATACATTTAACCCACAACCCACTCAACCTAAACTTCAGTCCCAAATCCCGTCAGATTGAGCTACCAATCCTCAAGTTCATTGCTTATCGCCGGATAAGAATTATGTTATCAATACAGCTTGGGTTAATGATCAGAAGGTGGATTGCTTCATCGATACTAGATCTGCTTTTTCCATCATCCGTATTTCAGTCCTAAAGAACCCTCAGACCATTAAACGATATGAAGGACCAATGATAAAATCAGCGACTGGTCATTTTCTCGAGATACTGGGGAAAACCCGATGTTTAATTAAAGTAACTGGAGTTGCTCAGTCAATATGGACTAATATTATTGTAGCAAGCGACAACTTTTCGTACCCTTTATTATTAGGGAACAATTACAATCGGATGGCCGATATTCAATTGGACTGGCAAAATATGACAATCAGACCCCAGATCAACCAAATGGAAACAGATAAGTCTGATTCTTTCTCAATTGATCAATCCGAATTTACTTAATTGAATCAGTTCGGTTTTCATTATGATAATGGAGAAGGATTAGCCCCTCTCGATTTTTCTATTATCAACAGTGATGAAAATCAACGATGCCTTACTTTGACCTTTGATCCGTATCAGTTTTAGTCGAAAAACAGTGTTTATTTATATCTAATTATAATTTCGAAACATTGAATTGATTAAAATTCGCATTCAAAAGTTAATAATTGTCATTCAGAACGAGAAATTGAGAAAAATTGAGCTTTCGATAATCGAATACATTTAACTATCGTACATCTGAATCCCTACTAATATTTGTTTGATTTGTAAGATTTGTTATCGGATCCTAAAAACAAAAAAAATATAAAGAAGATACATTTCTTCAATAAGTAAAGTAAATGTATTGAAATAATTAAGTTAAAACGTGCTTTCAATTCAAAGTTTCTTTAATGATTAAAGAGATTTTATTAAGTTTCATTTTCGTAATGCTTTTAACCAATTTTCTCGTTCACAGTTTTATAATCCTCGGCAATTACCTATTTCACGAGCATGGCCTCTTGCCAAATGTTGTGATGAATTTGACCAACGCTTGGTCAATCTGAATGAACAGGTGAAATCACACCAACGACATTTAAGTTTACCGCCTTGCATCTCAAACACCCCAATCTGGGTCAAATACCCCAATCTGGGTCATTCTCCATTTTATTGGCTAAAAATATAAACTCGTGAATTCCAGTATCACGCATTCGTTTTATTAAGCGACTTAAAATACCCTTTTCAGATGGGGGCGCCGGGTCCAATCTGTCCAAGAGAACACAATCCAGAAGTCTTTCTTCTTGTTCGAAATCAATAAACCCTGCAAGGTTGTCAGGAAGCTGTTAAAAAAGAGAAAGAAATTATAAATACCATGAAAGAAACCGATCATCGTCAGACTTACCTTTGCGACGTCATCTATGATGAAAACAAACAAGAAATGAGCTTAGAATTAGTAAGAAAACCAAGAAGTAAATCAATTACTGAACTGTAATAGCATAAAAAGAGTAACATAAAAGAAAGACGGAAGTTAAAGGGGGGAGGTCATGATCTTTGACCAATATGGCTGCCCAATACAGTGGCGCCATCTAGTGCCCCTTGGTTAATTTATGGTGAAAGACGAAAGTGCGCTAAATGCAAATGTTTAAAAGAAATCAAAATGTTGTTTATAACGTTTTAAATGTCTGTCGACGTAACTAATCAGCCAAAAATGAGCCTCGTCACTAAAAACTGTTTGTTGGACCAGGAAAGTTTCTCCTGTTGTAACTCCAAGCAAGCTGGAGCAAAATTCCAAGCGCTGTTCTTTTGCGTGGTCGCTTAATCTTTGCACACCAGTAACTTTATAGGGGTACAACTTAATTGCTTTGCGTAGTACAGCTTGTAATGAGGTATAGGGAATACCTAAAATTGGAGCTGCTTTCCTAATTGATGTTCTAGGATATCTCGTAAAGTAATCCCTTACTCTTGCTATAACTTTAGGAGTGTTATACTGAGCGGGTCGGCCACTTTCTTTTCGCATGTCGCATAAAACACCTTTTTTAAACTTTTGCACCAAGCTGTAGGAAAAACAACGTAATTAGAATTGTTTTACTGGTTATTTATGGAACTTACCGTTTGAATGAACGCCTAGATGGCAATTTAATGTTGCGGTATTTTGATCTTAATGCTCTCAAACCTTCCTCAGGACTTTCGTTCCTTTTATAAAAATGTTCAATGAAATAACCTTTTTGTTCGAGTGTTAAATCATTCATTTTAAGAGTTATTCTGCATGAAAATAGCACAAAAATAAGAAGAAATTTGCAAATTACAACAGGAACAAGAAAACAGACAAAGGCCTTTGTTTCCGATTTTCTCAAGAAAAATCATAGAGGGCAGCACCCGACAATTTTAGCGGTCATTTTAAAATTTGGATCAGTCAAAAATTAACAATTTTGAAGCATTTGTCAAAATTAGCAAAAAAATCGGATTTTCAATGTAAATTTCGGTTTGGTCATAATCGCAGTCGGTTGTGCACGGCGGTATAACGCCGAGGAGAGAAGAGTAGGAGAGAGAGAGTGAGAGTGTTAAATTAAGAGAAGAATCAATTCCAGAAGCTGAAGACTTAATGAATAAAATCTGAAGATCCAACTCGGTTTATATACTAATTCTTCATCAAGATAACTTATCGGTCATAATCTTAAGTGCTTTTCTGGAAAAAAAACCACAAATTTTTGTTTACCTTATTGAGACCTGAATCAGATAAGATAAATCATCATGATTTATCTAATCTTCAAATCAAAATGTTACCCCCGGGCTATATGAAATTATTAGGAAATTTTGCTCGCAAGTTAATTGATTTCATTAATCTCGTGTATCAAATGATATCTCTTAACTCGCGAGTTCACGGCAAATAAGGAACTGTTTAATCTCGAAAGATCAGCCCCGGGCGTTTAATTTTCCTTATTCTTTAATCAATTAGTTTCTTTCTAAAAGTATCATGTTTCTTCATTTACCTCTTTAACTTTCTGAGTCTGAAACAGCATCAAGGTTTGATTTTCTTTCTTTTTATTGGACCTTCACTTTGTGCTCGAAGCGTATGGTCTCTTTTGTGCTCGAAGCGTATGGTCTCTTTTGTGCTCGAAGCGTATGGTTTCCAACTACTAAGGTAAAAGAAAGTGAAAAATAAAGAGAAATAGGTAGTGGGATGGGCAATAGTATAGGTAAAAGGGGTGGTATTAAGGTATAGGTTAGGGTATGCGCAAAGGGATAGTCAAATGTAAACAAAGGAATACAGGGTAAGTTAAAAGTAAGGCTAAGCGAATAAAGGTAAAGGTATGAAAGAGGTAAAGGTAAAGGTGAGGAAAGCATAGGAAAAGTAAGCTAAATTGTAAGGAGTTACTTACTTTTTTCTTTTTGTTTTGCCGTTGGATCGGTATTGATTATGTGTTGCATTAGTGTTGGTGTGGTAACTAAAAATAAAAAAGTTAGATGAAATAATACTTAGAAAATGCATGCATAAAAAAGAAAAGAAACTTACTTTGGGGCCAATTGACTTGTAGATGTTTTGTTGGTGTTGTTGCTGTAACGAAAAAAAGTTAAACAATGAATAAACAAAAAAGAAATTTAAGAGAAGAATGGTCAATGGAGCTTTGGTCAATTTTATGAATAAAATATCGATTAAAAGTGAGTTATCTTGTGTATCTGTACTACTACTATCTGAATTGTTAGTTTCAGACCCAAAGTACAGTTTCAAACCAATGTATGTAGGAATTCTAGTTTCCTCAGCTGCAAAGTGGATAAAACCAAATGCATTGAGACGATAATTTATATAGACGAGTAAAACATCATGTAATGAAAGCATTGGAAGTCCTCCAATAACTCCAGATCGTGTTGTAAGTCCACCGTTATGAATCCAGAAAAGTACTGGTCGTTGTTTGACTGATGATTTATTAAAAGTTGATTCAGTTACATAAATATTGAGATAGAGACAGTCTTCACTGGTACTTCATAGACCACTATCTGGTTGAAGACAAGCTGGACCTGGATCAGCCACTGATTTAACCTCAGTCCATGGGTCTGGTTTAACTGCTAACTGTAATCTTAATTTGTCAATGGGAGGCTTTGCATAAGGAATACCTAGAAACTGGTAGACATCAATCAATTCAAACAATTTGCAAACAAAACTGTTTTATTCATCTACGTAAATAAATATTTAATTTAGATGGAAAGCATAAGGTGGAACTAATGATTGAAACAAAGCTCTCCTCTCTTCAGTGTAATTTCTTGATACTGTTATACATCTGATTATATCCAAAATTTTTGCCTCATTTTCCTCAATTTAAATTATTAAATTATTATTATCAGTAAAATATTTAATTTGTGGTTCTTCATATTTTTTTTCATTGAAATCTGTGGATTATTAAAGTGCAGGTGCCTTCCCTCAAATCTTAATTCATTGAATCGCGATTAATTGCTTAAATTGAAAATGTCAGAAAGAAGATTTCAAGGTGTGATGCCCAACCATTTCATAGATAACGACATATTGAGAATTTTAATTTCAATAAATGGTTGATGGAAGTCACCTTGAATAACTTGAAAAACTAAGTTTTATGCAATTGTAATCGTCTCCAGATGTAATCGTTGTATTGAAGGGTTGTCTACGGGTGCAGTTGAGGTTGATAAGATTATTGTGAATTTTGTGAGTACCAAGAAAACTATCTAATAATCTTGAGAAAGTTTTGATCATTAACAGTATAATATTGAATTTACAGAATGAATATCTGTTATTTTTTGCGAAAAGACTAACCTATGAATAGTGAAGTCTATCCAATATAAATTTCAATATTTTTGCAACAAATAAGTTTTTGCGACACCATATTCAACATTGTGTTGAAATTGGATAACGTCTTCAAAGTTCAAGTATTAGCCTTCCAATTAGAGTGATCAAAATGGTCAAAATTACTTCCAAAGAGGTTTGCGAACTTGTTAAACTTTTGAGAATCGATGTTTTTTACTTTTTAGCAACTTTAAGTGGTTCTTTGCCTGGATTTGCTTTCAACCAACTGTTGCAGGATAAATATTGTGTCAACAAATATTCAATCAATGAAAGTGTCTGTTTAAATTTGGAAACTGCTGGACCTGAATATGATACAGTCAGGAATGATGTATTGAAAGACACAACAACACTTAAAATGTATGTTACTCTGATGAAAGCTATACCAACGATAATCTTGTCAGCCATTTTAGGTCATTGGATGGATAAATATCCTGGTCATCTCCGGTATCTTTCTGGTGTAGCATCTTTAGCAATCGTCTTTCAAAACATTATGATTATACATCAATGTTTACACTTTGAAATGGGTAAGTAATACCGTGTTTCCGCACAATCAAGCACCGGGCTTAATTATGAAGATTTTCACGTTTAAGTCACTGTTGACACTCATTTTTTAGCACTGTGACTTAAAAATGATTAAAAAAGCAAGAATCGATAACAAAAAGATATGTATGCAATGTAATGGAAACCGGTTTTAATTTCATTTTTAAGCCCGGTGCATAAAAACGAGTGTCAACAGTGACTTAAGAGTGAAGCTACTCATAATTAAGCCCGGTGCTTGATTGTGCGGAAACACGGTAGATAATCGTTATTATTGCTAATCGTTGTTAATACTTAGGAAGCTACACTATTAATTAATACTAGTGATTACTGCTATTAAACTAATTTTACTCTCAACTTTTATTTTTTAGGTGTTGACTCATTATTGTGGACATATTTGTTTCCAGTTTTAACTGGAAGCGAAATAATTATAACAGTAGGAACCTTTACTTATGCAACAAGAAAGACACCAGCAAAGTTTCGAGCTGTTAGGTTTACAATCATCGAAATTTTCTTATTTGCAAGTAAGTTATATTATAAAAGTTCATGATTTAAATAATAATCTTTTTGTAATTGAAATTTCATTGTCAGCTTTTCCGGTTTCAAGTCTACTGGGAGGAGGCATTCTATCGACTAAACCATGGTTCCCGAACCAGCTTCGTAACTACATTGGAGTTTATATCATTTCATCTGTATTAGCGGTTTTCGCGGCTATTTGGGTTATGTTGTTGCTATATGACGCTGCTGACGATGAGGTTGAAACAGACGAATCTCAACCAAATGGTGATACTTCAAGTTCTGAGAATAATGAAAACAAGAAGAAAACAGTGAAACAACTCATTTATAATATAATCAAACCAGACAATATTTTCCATGCAAGTCGCACTGTTTTCAAAAGAAGACCAAATAATGCTCATTGGTATTTGATATCAACGATATTGACTGGTATTATAGCAAATATCTGTTATTCTGGTGATCATTCCATAGGGTACCAGTTTAACCAACAAGTTTATCATTTTAATGCTGAACAAATGGGAGTTTACGGTGCCATTTTCATCATCTTCCCTGCTCTGGGTGTAATTATTGGTCCTCCGCTATTCATTCATAAAATGAAACTTCATGATAGCTCATTGGCCATAATTGGTATTGTTTCAATTATGGTGGCTTTCCTTGCCAAGGGTTTTATTCTTAGTCGCCTAGCCTTTTTATTTATCATATTTGGATCTTTCGCTGGTGTTATATTTGTTGCCGATCGTTCAATCATTTCTCGAATGATTCATAAAGACGAGATTGGACAAGTTTACGCATTTTCATCAGCTATTGGAGGATTTAACCAATTGCTATCAGCGCTATTCTACACCACAGTATTTAAAGCAACATTGGACTACAATCCTGGTCTTGTGTACATAATTACTGGTTTATTATTCACCATTCCTTTAGCCAACGCTATTTTGCTCAACATAAACAAGCAGAAATGGGATTTAGTTTTGATTGCTGAAAAGGGAAAGGAAACTCAAGAAAGTTCGAGCTTTCTATCAGATGAAAGATAACAAAGTTGGTCTACGCAACGGACATGATTATTTATCTCCACGTCTTCGCCTTTAGCTTCTGAATATTATGCTTTGGCTGCACGAGATTGGTCAAATTAATTTGCAGTTAATTCTCTGCAAATTTATAAATCAGTGGTTATCTGATGAGCACCAAATTCATAGATTGCTAGCAATTTCAGCATAAATGATTTTCGCTATTGATTGATGAAAATTTATAATACTTTCAACAATTTTAAACTAAAAGAGACTTTAATGTATTATGTTCTTGATATTTAAATGAATGAAAACTCTCCATGAGCAAGCAAATTGAATGACTCTGAATAAGGTTGTAATATATTATAAAAAGTAATAAAAATGATTTTAGGCTTCACACTGGTTACTTTATCTAATTTTCTTATTTTTTAGTAAATTACATTACTAGTCAAATACTGAAATCACTAGTTGTGATTGAGTAAAAAGTTGTCTCAAACGAGTACAGAGATCAGTTAAAGTTCGTGCAGGAGACAAAACACATTTCTTATTGCATGTAAACTCATTTTGTTTTGTTTCATTAATTCAGCTTGAGCTTGATCGCTGTACACGAATATCTTGATCAAAATTGATAATTTACTTGCCAAAGCAGTAAATAATTATTGTCAATGTTCCTTTAAAGTGGTAAAAGGATTGGACTCTTTGTTTGTTTTAAGCTTAAAATTGGCGAACTTACAGGACACCAGAAAAGCTTATAAGTGGGGACAATGGCTTATGAGTACAGTGGTAGATTGTCTGGGCAAGGTACTCCTTTGCATATAAAATGTTTAATAATTGGTATCATGATGTATCAAATTATTTTTAATACACCAAGTTTTTCTACACAGGTAGGTTGCTTCCATCTGTGGTAAAAATGCACTTAAAGTAAAATAATCTAGTTATTTTCAGGAAACGTCATTTTCTTTGGAACTGTTTGCTGTTGAATTATAATCAGAGCAATGAAAGATTGTACTTGTTGTTTGCCTGTTTTATTAAATATACAATTAGATAGTAATTAGTAATTACTATTCTAAAGTGGAGTGGTTGTAAGTGGTCTACTTTACCAGTCAAAGATAACTTTTAACTAATAACCATAATCATAACTCAATTTAATTTGATAGTTTACAATTGTTCGAGTTTCGAATTGGACCAACAGTTCAAATAAAACATGTCATATTCGATTTCTTTACCAGATAATTCATTACGCTCTTATTATGGAGCTAAAAAACCGTTTCTTCAACCCAAAGAACATTCAGATGCTAAAATAAACTTTAAAGGTAAGATTTTTTAATTTTACTTCCTTAAGAGTTAGAGTGAGAGCTCCAATCTGATCCGCAATTAAATAGCATATTTAATCAATGTTTTTAATTTTTTGAAAGACAATTGGATGCCATCGCCACTGGTATTGAACTGTCCACCAGGATTGGAATATTTAACTAAAATTGATAAATTTTTTGTCAATAAGAATCATGATCCTCATGAGTTGCAGAACAGATATCTTATCAAAAACGGTTTGGCTGAGAAAGTTTATACTGCAAATGAAAGTAAGATATCAAGCAATGTAAAGCCATTTCTAATCGTTTTTTCGTCTCTTCTTCGCCACTCAGAATACGATAAACGCTGTATGATTTGTTGTAACACCAACAGATTATTCGATATAAAAGTTTTCGATTTCCATGAACGTGAAGTTCTCAATTTCCATCGGTAAATTGTTTTCACTTTTTTTCAAAAACATCTTGTATTGTAACTAATCAGTACTATTGTGGAGCTTGGGAGGTTCTTCTGCTTTCAATCTGATTGCAGATGCTTTGAGTCAATGTAAGCTTTATCAACTATCTGAATCTTTTTGAATCTATTTGAACAAATTGTTAACCGATGAAGACATTAAAATAGTCAAGCCGAAAATGTAGTTGATTAAATGATTAAATGCAATGTCATCGATTTAATCGTTTCTACCACATTCTTTATCCAGCACTTTAGGATGTCAATCTTGTTGGTGCCCCTGTTGCCTTCAAAGTGTGGAAGTCACAGCTTCTGGTACCTTATGTGGTTTCATCAAGCAATCCTGGAGTCCTTTTTTACCCAAGTTTAGAATCTGTGATGCTACTGGGAAAACTGTTTTACTGATCAAAGGACCATGTGACATAAATTATATTTTAACGAAATTCAAAGTATTATCATGTGATGGTAAAACTAAAGTTGGCCATGTTTCTGCACATTTGGCTAGCATAATACCAGAGCAACTTCCCAATGATCACTCTAGCATTTCATTTCCAATGGATTTAGATTTTAATATTAAAGCTGTGTTATTGGCCGCTTCCATCCTAATTGTAAGTATATTTATTGATGAGATTGGGTATGAATAATGATTTTATTTTGTTCATTTTTTGTTAAGGATCGTTTGTTCTATAAAAGCGCTCAAAAGACCAACGGTAGTCTTGCAATTGAAGCAGGTTGCGAGGTTAGACATTGTTTAACCCTGTGTTTAGCTCCATGGTGTATTCATTTACCCAGTGATTCATAATGAGCATTTGAATGCTAATAACTTTTTCATTAGTTAACATATAAATTTCAAACTAGCCTAGAAATAGAGAATCACCAACCGAACAATCAACAACATCTGATGTAAAGCTCTATAATTACACCCCATCCAACCATCACCAATCATCCACCCCACATCAAACCAACCAACAACCCATATACTTGTACTCATACCACTACTCAAGATCTCTGTAAACCTTAGTATAATACCTGGCCGTAAGGCTTAGGACTCTTATGCAACAAATAAAGAGCGATTGCTCATTTCATAGAGTTCAGAGTCTACTTATCAAATGAAATTATGCACGCAAGACTAACTTACCGAAGAGGTGCGACAGTGAAGCCTTTTTTGGAAAATCTCCCGTTTGATTTCGTTCTTTTTTTGTTAAGGATTGCTTGCTCTATAAAAGTGCACTAAGGACTAACGGCAGTTCATACATTCAAAGCAGGTTTCGAGGCTGGACATTTTTTTGCTATGTGCATTGATTCATTCATCTGCATCAAGAAAATAATGATTGAACTATTCAATATCAATATTGATGTTTAAAGCGGTAAATTTCTATAGCCTCAAGAACTTCACCACGACAAATCTACAATTAGATTTATAAATCCCTAGATATTAATTTAGTAATTGCGATTTATTAAACGATGTAATGCATGCGAGTTTTTAATTTTTCAATAAAACAAATATAAAGTCAAATGCTGTTTCAATCATTACTTTTATTTATTGACATTTTCTGATTTATCATGGAAATCCATGCTGAAGTGAAGAGTATAAACTAAAAACTGTGAAAATTGAACTATCCAGATAGACTTCACCAGTTTTTATCAAAAAATTGGTTCTCTTGACGAGGGGACAATTTTGAGACAAATAGTGCATTCGCTTTGTAGTATGATTATAAGTATTTATTCAATTTTGAATCGATGGCATTGTATTACAGAAAAAGATGAAGATAATTTAGAAATGAGGTTCGAAGAAGTAAAGCTTGGTGCAATGTTGATTGGAATAGAAAATTGTAAATTAAGATTGTCATAATACAGACCATTAGCATTGAAAAATGGGTCATAAATGAAGTTAAAGTTATCGTGGATCATTAATCGTCAGTAAATAAACGATGAAACTGCATTATGATCATCGAGTGATCTTTTTTAATACCAACGATCAACTTGCAGAGTCAATTTCATTCAGTTGTTTGTTCCTTTATGATTTAAGCATCAGATTTCTGTCTATTAATACGAGTTGTTGCTAAAAAGACACAATAAACACATTTGCAACGTTTTTGCACAAGTTTACACAAATGCTGCAAAACAAATGGCCAAAAACGAGTGAAAATTGCTTTCTTTCAAATTCTTTAGTGTTAGTTTGTAGGGAAATAAAACCTGAGTCCATTAGCGCTGCTAAAAAGTTTCTCCAACCAACAGTCTTCAAGAAAAGTGAGTCCAAAGTTGAATGTTCGATCGACTTTTGTACGTTTATGGAAGCAGATTTTGTCAAGAAACTTACTTCTCATATTCAATTTTTGATTGCCAATCATAAAATGAACTTATTTTGTGGAATAATACTTTCCGTTTTTCGTAAAACAGATAAGTTAGATTTTCATTTAAACCGACTTTTTTCTGCGACCTTTCTACTTAGAGAGTTGAAACTTATTGTTAGTAGATGAAAATTGTAGCTACACATCAACATCTGAATGATTTTTTCGAGACATTGACAATTCTCTTGATTTTGGCCCTTTTGCATAATAACTTCGAACATCAATATTTCGAGAATGGTCGCACTTACAATCAACATTCACTGACCAAATATTAGATCTTATCATTAGCTATAATATGATATGAAAAATTACCGAATATAATGCGAGTTAATTCATTTAATGATGAATAGCATTCTAACATATGAGATTTGTGTTTGAATCAAAATTTAACTTCATAAATGAAGTATCAAGACTAACAACATAAGTAATAAAATGCTAAAACTTTTTTTGTAGCATCTTGAATAATTTTATATTGCAACTTATTATATCCTATGACAAGATCTGATAATTGTCAATGAAAATGCATTTGTAGGTGCGACCATTCTCGAAATATTTAGGTTCGAAGTTATTATGCAAAAGGGCCAAAATCAAGAGAATTATTGATGTCTGGAAAAAATCATTCAATTGTTGATGTGATACTACAATTTTTCATCCACTAACAATAAGTTTCAACTCTCTAAGTAGAAAGGTCGCAGAAAAAAGTCGGTTTAAATGAAAATCTAACTTATCTGTTTTACGAAAAACGGAAAGTATTATTCCACAAAATAAGTTCATTTTATGATTGGCAATCAAAAATTGAATATGAGAAGTAAGTTTCTTGACAAAATCTGCTTCCATAAACGTACAAAATTCGATCGAACATTCAACTTTGGACTCACTTTTCTTGAAGACTGTTGGTTGGAGAAACTTTTTAGCAGCGCTAATGGACTCAGGTTTTATTTCCCTACAAACTAACACTAACAGAATTTGAAAGAAATCCATTTTCACTCGTTTTTGGTCATTTGTTTTGCAGCATTTGTGTAAATTTGCGTAAAAACGTTGCAAATGTGTTTATTGTGTCTTTCTAGTAACAACACGTAAAAATAAATGGATATTTGAAGCCTAAATCATGAAGAAGCAATGTCCTGAATGCAACCAACTCTGCAAGTTGATCGTTGGCCTTAAAGTTTCTAAATTAGACAAGAGATCTTATGTTTTGGTCTACTTTTTCGATTAAAATGTACAATTTAAATGTTTAAATTGACTTATGAATCGTAACTATCATTAAGGCGATTCCTGTGATTCGTGTTGGACTTAGTGGTGGATAGCAGGGTTGAGATAAATGCGGATGAGGTGAAACTGGCAGGAACCATTGTGACCAGGGCTGGTGCAGGTTGAGAGTTGGTTCAGTTAAAGAGGGAAAGATGATTGTACCTGAGCGATTAATGTGAGATGGAGTGTTGTTGGATAAGTTGGAGAAGTTTTTTAATCGCAATAATGGACTCAATTTTTACGTAGCAACAAACTTACAGAGTCCAAACTTTAAAGGGACTCATTTTTAACCCGTTTTCGCCCATTTGTTTCAACTCGTATCAATTTGTGCATAAATGCATGATTGTGTTAAAAGTTTCCTTTTAGTATCAATTTAGTCAAAAAAATCTTTTTTCTTGCCCAAAAAAGCTGTTCAAAAATTTTCATTGACCGAATCAAGCTACAGTCTTTTCTTGAACTGATAGTCAGAATCTAATTTGCATATGAATTATGTGGAAAAAAGCAAGTCTCGTAAAGTGAATTAAGTTTGTTATTTATTATGAATTGGAAGTTCAACTTGGTTTTCTTGAGTTTCCTTTTCAGCAATCAAAACTAAATCCCATTTCTGCTTTTTTATGTTGAGCAGGATAGCATTAGCTAAAGGAATGGTGAATAATAAACCAGCAATTATGTACACAAGACCAGGATTGTAATCCAATGTTGCTGTAAATACTTTGCTGTAAAACACTGATGCAATTGTTGGAGAAAATCCTCCGATAGCTGATGAAAATGCATAAACTTGACCGATCTCGTCTTTGTGAATCATTCGAGAAATAATTGATCGATCAGCAAGAGAAATGACCGCAGCGAACGAACCAAATATGGTGAAGAAGTAGGCTATTGGACTCAGAATAAAACCTTTGGTGAGATAAGCTGTCATTATTGAGACAATACCAATTATGGCCAATGAAGTATCATGAAGATTCATTACATTAATGAATAGAGGAGGACCAATAAGTGTACCTAAAGTAGGGAAAATAACGACAATGGATCCATAATATCCAATTTGCTCAGCACTGAAATGATATACTTTTTGGCTAAACTGGTATCCAATATGCTGATCACCGGAGTAACCAATGTTCGCAATGATTCCAACCAGTATTGTTGATATTAAGTACCAATGAGCATTATTTGGTCTTCTTTTGAAAACTGTGCGACTTGAATGAAGGAAATTATCTGGTTTTATTATATCATAGATTATTTGTTTCACTGTTTTCTTTTTGGTTCCATTATTATCAGAACTTGAAGCATCACCCTTTAGGTGAGATTCAACTGTTTCAACCTCATCGTCAACAGCGTCATATAATAACAACATAACCCAAATAGCCGCAATAACCGCGATTACCGATGAAATAATATAAACTCCAATGTAGTTACGATGCTGGTTAGGAAACCAAGGTTTAGATGCGAGTACACCTCCACCCACAAGGCTTGAAATAGGAAAGGCTGTCAATATCAATAATAAGTCAAGTATTGAGTATAATTCAAATTATGAGTTTTGATTGACTTACTTGCAAATAAAATAATTTCGAGTATCATAAACCTAACAGCTCGAAACTTGACTGGTGTCTTTCTTGTTGCATAAGTAAAGGTTCCTATTGAGATAATGATTCCACTTCCAGTGAACACTGGAACCAAATTCGTCCATAATAGCGAGTCAGCGCCTAAAACGTGAACGTTGAGCATCAAATTATTTGAATAATAGCATAACTTCATCAATCATTACATACCCATTTCAAAGTGTAAACATTGATGTATAGTCATGATGTTTTGACAAATGTTTGCTAAAGATGCTGAACCAAGAAGATATCGTAGATGACCAGGATATTTATCCATCCAATAACCCAAAATGAGTGATAAAACAATCGCTGGTATTGTTGTCATTAGAGTAATATGCATTTTAAGTGTTGTCGTGTCTTTCAATACATCATTCCTGACTGTATCAAATTCAGGTCCAGCAGTCTCCAAGTTTAAACAGACACTTTCATTGACTGGATATTTGTTGATACAATATTTATCCTGCATCAGTTGGTTGAGAGCGATTCCAGGTAATGAAGTACTTAAAGTTGCCAAAAAGTAAAAAACATCGATTCTTAAAAGTTTAACAAGTTCCCAAACCTCTTTGGGAGTAATTTTGGCCATTTTTATCACTCTAATTGGAAGGCTAATACTTACATGTTATTTGTACTTAACACAAATTAAACTAACATAAATTTGTCATTGGATAGACTATTTATTTGGTCGTCTTATAGCAGTTAGAAGATTAAAGGTATCGTTTCGTGAACGCATTTCCAGATTATTAGATAGGCTTCTCGGTACTCTCACTGCACCCAAAAATACAGTTGTATTAACCCCCTGCTCCTTAATCCCTTTAATACAGCTGTATTAGTGGTATCAAAAAGCCCTAAGTAGGCTCACGAGGTCTTTCTTGACAACTTTGTAAGCTAATATCTTCGCCCATGTACTTAGGTTTATAATCTAGAAGGATAGTGGTCTGAGTCAATCAGGTATCAATCAGTGGACTTCGAACCGAAAAGCTGCTTCACGGCTCCTATTTTCTAATCTTAGGATTGTCATCTGCTGAAATAATTTCAAGTTTGAAAAGGAGAAAGAAGTTGAAGAATGTATCCAAAGGATAAGGTGGGTAGGTGGTAATTCTATTAACTAGAGTTATATTATTATATTTTATACTTTTCATTAGTCATGATTTGTTCGGACTTAAGAAAAAACATCGCTTCGGCATTTGTGAACTTTTTTAAACTCATTTTGATCAGAGTTTTTGCAAGGCAAGTTGATCCATGAATACTTTGATAATATTTTGAAACATTTGGCTATAAGAGGATGCTTTGACATGGGCATATCTAATGAAAATATTACCGAACTTTTGAAGTTGCTTCCGCGTTTTACTCTCATTGATTTTTGGTAAATATGATTATCTTCAATTAACCCTAAAAGGCTACAATGTACCAGCAAATGAGGAAAAAACAATCAAGGTGAGCATTGAACGACTTGGTTCTCTTAAAAACTTATACACATAATCGGATTCATTGCAAACATTGGTTACCCCGGTGATCAGCATATTGGGTACCAGTTTAATCAACAAGTTTATCATTTTAATGCTGAACAAATGGGAGTTTACGGTGCCATTTTCATCATCTTCCCTGCTCTGGGTGTAATTATTGGTCCTTCGCTATTCATTCATAAAATGAAACTTCATGATAGCTCATTGGCCATAATTGGTATTGTTTCAATAATGGTGGCTTTCCTTGCCAAGGGTTTTATTCTTACATTGTTAGTCGCCTAGCCTTTTTATTTATCACATTTGGCTCTTTCGCTGGTAACATTTCTCTTGCCGATCGATCAATCATTTCTCGGATGATTCAAAAAGACATGATTAGACAAGTTTATGCATTTACATCAGCTATTGGAGGATTTAACCAATTGCTATCATCGTTATTCTACACCACAGTATTTAAAGCAACATTGGACTACAATTCTGGTCTTGTGTACATAATTACTGGTTTATTATTCACCATTACTTTAGCTAAAGCTATTGTACTCAACATAAAAAAGCAGAAATGGGATTTAGTTTTGATCGCTGAAAAGTAAAAGGAAACTCAAAAAGATTTGAGCTTTCTATCTGATGAAAGATACGTTGGTCCACGCAACGGACATGATTATTCATCTTCACGAGTTTTTGAGGTTTACAAGAAAATTCTTTGATATTTTGTATATAATAGAAACTATGTTAAAATGTCTTGTAAGAATGTGTTTCAGATATTTTTTCAAACGAAATGAATGCATATCCATGACGTTTCTTTTTACATAAAGGCTGTAAAAATATCAACCAAATTAATCTCATAACTATGATCTACCACGCATACCTATCGTTATATATTAACATTAATAGTTTAACATGACTTATCGGTTCAATTCAGCTTAAAACATACAAAACTCGTCAATCCGTTTGTTCAAATTTCAATATTAAATAGTCAAATAATCAAATAATCCATAATATTCCTTGAAGCCTAGATTTCTCCTCAAATAATTGATAATATAACAGAACAATGAGACTAAATTAGATAAAGCTTAGTTTAGAGAAACTTATACAGGATTATAGAGAATTTTATTCAGAATTATCGTGAATTTTATGAACACATTTTAGTTCAATCTGATAAAAAATCTGCTGTTTAATGAGAAAAGTGAGCATTTTATGCACCAAGTGGAGATAAAACTTCCCGTGAATGATGAATATCATTCTCATTTTTCTTGGAAAATGAGACATTAAAACTGCGAATTATTCAGATAAAGCTTAGTGTACAAAAAGATTAAATTTCAACAAGCAAACCATTATAAAAACATAATAACCAGGACAGATAAAGCAATGAATTGAATGCCAATGCAAAGATTGAAAAAGGTATATAAATAGGCGATTCAAATTCTATTCAATTCAGTGTTAATAATCAATTTGTGACTGATTGTTTGAGTTGAAAACAGAAATTTTATTAAAAATCACTTTTATCATTTGTTATTTGAATATCATCATTTGTTTACTGCAATGAATACGGTCAAATTAATGGTACTTTTAGCGTTGAAAAATCGGAGCTGTATGAATTTTACGAACAAACTGTGGATATTTTGAATACTGTTGTAACGAAAAAAGAGGGTTACAGTAAATAAAAATGTGAATAAACTTATATTGAACTAGTTTAATGGATTACTTTAGAAATCATAAGGGAACGAGGGAAGGCTGGATACAAACGAAAAAGAGGTACAATATCGTTGAATGTAATTTAAGTTAATTAAAAGCGTATCTTAACAGAACTGACTTCTCCATCAGTTTGGGAGCGTTAATATACTAGGGAAAAGGATGTCATTAGTGAACATTACTATATATGTGTTCGGTCCAAATAAAGGTTAGCAATTAAAATCAATCATCACCTTAATGGTGGGAAAATACAATCATCACCTTATAGCGGAAAATACAATTATCATCACCTTATAGTGGAAAATACAATTATCATCACCTTATTGTGGAAATTACTTCATAACTATATTAGGACATTTATTTACATTACACTGTTTATCGCCGCTTGAATATTGTTAGTGTTGATGATTTTAAAATAGATTCGTTGGAATCAGTTAACATTTATAATTTCCCAATATTTGAATTTCAAGCTTTGATTGATAATTATATTAGTGACATTAGTAGTATACAGAAAGCAGGGTTCACCTCACCCTTAACTCACTTCCGTTTGTCGTTTTAGCGGAAGTGACGTCATAGTGAGGTGAACCCTCCTTTCTGTTTTGAAATTCAACGCCAACGATTCCGGCGTAGACCCTGTTACCTGAGTTAGAGGATTTAAAGGGGCGTGAGTTGAACTAGATAGCTCAGGAAGGTGTGAGGAGCGTTTGAGCCTTCGATGATGTCAACATACGATGAGTTAGATACAGGAAGTTATGAAGTTAATAGGAGAAAGATGAAAAATAAAGAGATTTAATGATATCATTATTAGGCTCAAAGATTGAGCATGAGAATCAATTGAAGGGGGAAATGTTTAGAGATTGAAATAAGGCAAGGGGGAAGAAATAACACTTAAATCTATTGATTTTACTTAGCTTATGTTAATAGTTAATTAACTTATGAAGTCATGTAATTTGACACCGATGTTGTCTAACTCACTCTTTAGATGATTTACATTGAGATAAGCAAGAATCATTAACCCTGAACAAGTTTTAAGATGATGTAATTTGACACCGATGTTGTCTAACTCACTCTTTAGATGATTTACATTGAGATAAGCAAGAATCATTAACCCTGAACAAGTTTTAAGATGATGTAATTTGACACCGATGTTTATTAACTTCTTATTTTGATGATTTACATTGAGATAAGCAAGAATCATTAACCCTAAGCATACAGCAGTAGTATACAGAAAGCTTGAGTTAAAAGCTAATTGACTTATGAAGTCACGTGATTTGACATTGATGTTTACTAACTCACTCTGTTGCTGATTTACATAGAGATACACAAGAATCATTAACCCTGAGCAAGTTTTTAGATTTTGTAATTTGACACCGATGTTTACTAATTCACTCTTTCGGTGATTCACATTGAGATAAGTGTAGATTATTAACCCTAAGCAAGTTTTCTAGCATCGTAATTTGATATCTTTGTTAACTAACTTCTTATTATGCTGATTTTTACTGAGATAAGATATATATTTAATCGTGAGAATGTATTAATTTTCACAAATGTTAACTTATACACTGTGCTTATGCTATAAACGCAAAAATAAGTGATTAGCAACTGATAAAATGTTTGAAACTAACTATAAGAAATCAATGAGACAGAAATCATTATTAGTTAATTACATATTGATTGTTTATTGGTAAAGTTCAAGTTAAGAAATATTAAATTACAGTTAAATTTGTCGTATTGTTACTCAAATTATTCTTAAACATGAATAAATTGTAATACAACATAAGCAAAAGACCAATGAAAAGAAGGATACATGAAATAAGTGAACAATGAGATGCAAAAATGACCATCATTTTGTGTTATTAGACAGTTACAAGTCATTCAGTTGATTGTCCAGCTAATTGTATCAAGATGCCTTACGATTGTGAAAATTGTGCTTTTACATCTTACTCAATCGTTGACTATGTCAATCATGTATGTGCAACATCAAGTCATCATGAAGATCATAGTGCTTCTAGTCAAAGTGCTCAGATATTATGTTACAATTGTGATTTCTCAACACTAGATGCAGAAGAGTATCTTGCTCACTCTTGTGAAACTACTCCTTTGCCTTCTTGTTCAAATGACTGTTTAATTTGTGTTCCCGAGCTACCAATTATGACATCACAAGAACAAAACAATACACCATCAACTTCAGTTTCATCATCTCGAAACATCACCTCACCTAGCTCCTCATCAAAAGGTGTAAGTCTACTTCAAAAAGTGAAGAAAACAAAATTTTGTTGTGATAAGTGTAAGCATGTGTTCTCAAGACGGAAAATTTTCCAGGAGCATATCAAAGTTTGTGGTGTTCCCTGTTCACCTATAGAAAGAAACTTTAGTAAAATTGATGGATTGAATTGTGTGCGAAGTGCAATGCATAATAAACTATCAGAATACACAATAGAAAAACCAACAGCTATTGATCTTGATAAATTGCAGAAAGACATTCAAAATGATATTTATGACTTATTGAAATCAACACTTGATACTCATCCTACACTTAAATTCAATTTAACCATTGAAATCAGTTTTGAAAAAGTGACAAGTGAGGGAGTTGTTAATCTGGAGAAAAGACCTTTCGTTTCCGTTATGAAGCAAATCTTGAGAGGAGATGATTTGAATTACAAAATTGCTTCATCATTCGATGAATTGAAAGAAACTGTAGCTCAATACACTGAAAGAGGGAGTGGATGGTCTATTGTTTCAATTGATAGAGTAACTATTCATCTGGGTCGATTCAAAGCTCATGCAGGAGGTTGTTTCAATAAAAAGTTACCAGCACTGATTATCAATAAAAAGTGTCTTTTGAGGATGGAGGTTACGAGTGACTGCTTCATGTATTCTGTTCTAGCATCCTTACACCCAAAGAGTAGCAGTAGCAATCCTTCTCGTCGTAAACAATACGATCAGTACATTAACCTCTATGACTTCTCTGATGTAAGAGGCATTGTGACACTTGATCTTATCTCTAAATTTGAAAAGAAAAATAATTTGTGTATCAATGTCTATACATATGATATTGATGAATCTTATGTGATCCCTTTGAAAATCAACAAACAGCTACATCAAGAAACGATTAAGCTATTCCTGTACGATGAACACTTTTATCCAATCAGAAGCTTTAATCGCCTCGCAAGTGCGGATCTTACAAAATCACGTCATTTTTGTGAGTTTTGTATGAATCCATTTACTAGCTGTGAGAAATTGGATAAACACAAAATTGAGTGTGTGCGCATGTCTCCTGGTAACATCATCATGCCTGAAAGAGGTTCCAGCAAACAAAAAATAAAGTTTAAGCAATACAAATGGATTCAACAATTTCCATTTGTAATTTATGCAGATTTTGAGACCCTGTCCGTCAATACGCAAAATGATTACAAAATCAAAGAGCTACCGCCATGTAGTTATGGTTTAGTTGTGGTTGACTGGAACGGTGTAATCATCAAATCAGACTTTTGCCGAGGACCTGATGTAGTTAAAAATTTTCTTCCAAAGCTATTCTCTTTGAAACATGAGCTGAGTACAATTTTGAGAGACTCAAAGAAGCCTCTAATAATGACCGATCAAGATGATGAAAATTTTGTGAATGCAAGGAAATGTTTCATCTGTGGACAAGGACTTTGGTCTGATAAAGTCAAGGATCACGATCATCTAACTGGAAAGTATCGCGGAGCAGCTCATTCAAGATGTAATCTTGCTCTTGTTATGCCTGATAAAATACCTATCATATTTCATAATTTGAAAAATTTTGATGGTCACATAATCTTTGAAAATTTGAGTCATGAAATAATCAAGAGAGGATTGACTGTTATCCCCCACACAATGGAGAAATACACAGCCTTCTTATTTGATAGCTTCATATTTCTCGATAGTTTTTCTTTTCTTCCAGCTAGTTTAGAATCATTAGCAGAAAGTTTAACAGAGGAAAATAAACAAGATTTCATCAAAATGTTGTTTCCCAATCATCCAACAGCACTTTTGACTAAAAAAGCTGCTCTACCTTATGAATATATCGATTCGCATGCAAGATTTGAAGAAGATACACTACCGAGTATTGATAAATTTTATTCATCATTGAGTGGTGAAACTATATCTACTGAACTTTACAATCATCTTGAATTAATTTGGAAGCAGTTCAACTGTAAAACACTCGGGGATTTTCATGACATTTATCTGAAAGTGGATGTTTTATTGCTCACTGCAGTATTCGAAAATTTCCGAGGCACAGTTAGACGTTTTTTCAACTTGGATCCCTGTCATTTGTTCTCCTCACCAGGACTTTCATGGGCTGGAATGCTCAAGTTTACTGGCATAACTTTAGATCTGATGACACATATCGACATGCTCTATATGATTGAAAAAGGAATCAGAGGAGGTCCAACATCGGTAGCAGATAGACATTGCACTGCAAATAATGAAAATGTCACAAACTTCGATGCAAATAAACCGAGAAGTTTTATAAAGTATTTCGATGTAAATAATCTCTATGGTTACGCCATGAGTCAAAAATTACCAATTGATGAATTCAGCTGGTATCAAGGTGAAATTGACATTGAAATGTTGCTAACTGAAGCAAGAGATACTAACTATGGATACATTTTCGAGGTTGATTTGGAGTACCCAGCTGAGCTCCATGACCAACACAATGATTTTCCCTTAGCTCCTCACAAAATGGAAATTGATTACAATTCATTGAGTGATTATCAAAAGGATATCATCAAAAAACTAACACAAAACGATTTAAATTATACTTCCTCTGAAAAGTTAGTTTTGACATTTTTACCTCATGAGAAATATGTTGTTCATTATGCAACTTTGGATTTGTATCTCAAAATGGGAATGAAGCTGAAAAAAGTTCATCGGGTGATTCGATTCAGACAAGGACCGTGGTTAGCGAAATATGTTGAATTCTGCACAAAAATGAGACAACAAGCTACTACCGCCTTTGAAAAAGATTTCTGGAAATTGATGGTCAATTCAATCTACGGGAAAACAATTGAAGACAAACGCAAACATAGAAAGATATGTTTTGCATTTGATGTGCACGAAACTGAAAACAAGTTGAGATCTGATCTATGCAAAAGATACATTATCATGAGTGAAAATAGAGTGATATTTGAGCTGTTCAATACTAAGGTCGAGATGAACAAACCAATAATGGTAGGTTTTACTGTTTTGGAAATGGCAAAATTGAAAATGTATGAAATTCATTACAACAGCTTCAAAAAACATTTCGGAGAAAAGATTAAATTACTCTACACAGATACTGATAGTTTAATCTACAACATCAAATCAGAAGATATTATCAAAGATATGGAAAGCCTTTCATCTCTAATGGATTACAGCAATTACCCTAATGATCATGTTCTCTTCTCAAATTGCAATCTGAAGAAAGTTGGATACTTGAAAGATGAGATGGCGGGTAAAGATATTGAAGAGTTTGTTGCATTGAAACCAAAACTTTATGCAATCAAAGTTGGAGATTCAATTGTAAAAAGAGCCAAAGGAGTTCAAAAGTCTGTTTTAAAAAAGAAAATTAATTTTGATGACTATCTAAATTGTTTGTACAATAATGAAGTTGAAAGAGCCAAGCAAACAAGACTTGGATCAAATAAACATGTAATCTATATGTTTTCAAATGATAAAATATTGATGTCTCCACTAGATGACAAAAGATTTTTAATCAATAATACTGATTCATTGGCCTACGGGCATTACAAAATCAGACAAAATGAGTCTGAGCAACAATAAAGTTTGTTTTTCATTGATAAAATGTTTACATTTTTTAAATATTGAATAAAAAATTTTCGGGTTATTAGCAAAAAGAATGAAGAAAACACAAAAATAACCACAAGCTTGAGAATTATTAGATTGTATTTTCATGTCGTTGTATGTAAATCCTCTTTTAGCGTTTCTCTCTAGAAATATCAAAATTTCACCAGTAGGCGGACGACCAAAAGAATCAAAATAATGCCCCTGTCCATTTTTGTTTATACTAAGAGCAACCCAATGACTTCCAGGCTCATAGCTTTTATCTAGATTTATAATCATTGATGTTGGAAGGGTAATGACCCTTGGTAGTCTATCAATTGCAAAGACTCCTTGGAAATAAGAAACGTTTTTCAAGAGTTTATTGATCTTTATTGTTGTTAGCATAATTAGTAATCTACAGTTACATTCCTGTTTTGATCAATCGTGATGACGTTATCAAATTGAGCAAAAATGATTGCTTTGATTGAAGTTGTCAATGTCTTAGAAAACTTCACATGTAATCTTATATTTCCTCGTTTCAACAATGAGAGAGTTCCATTCTCAGCTCCTATTGATCCATCAGGAGTAAGATCGAATGCAAATAGAGTTTTTGACTTTCCAAAATCTTCATATGAGACATCAAGTTGAGGTTGACCTTCATCTTGTCCTAATGCTCTGTAAAGATTTACAAACTCTCGCATGTAAAGCTTTTTCTCAAAATTAGGTTGATATGGTAGGCTAGGAATCAAATTTCCATCAGCTTGTAATGCGATGTAGTTAATGTTAAAATGTTGAAATTGATAAGGATCTTTAGTTAATGATCCAATGTGTGCTGCATCATCAACAAAACCAATTACAACTCTTCGCGGTAATATGCCAGAGAATAAACTTTCAATTGTTGCTCCAACTAAATTTGAGCTTATTGAAAAAACTCTTATTTCATTTCTTGTTATGAAATATTTTGCAGGTGATTTTATCAAACCTTTGAGAATGCTAATTTGAGCATCAGGGAACAATTTTACTCGACGTATGTGTAAAGTGATTGCATTCAACTGAACTTGATAACTTTCTGTATCTGTTGCATCTGTTTTGATTAAAGGGAAACCTTCAGGTGACTTGTTGAAACGAAAAGATATTGGGACTGCATTGATTAACAGCTTATCCTGTTCACATAGGGGCAGGTGCATTCTGAAGTATAGATCGAAAATTCCATTTGCTATTCTTGTTGAATCAGACTCATCCATTCTACCAGAATCAATTTTATTTTTGACTCTAAACAATGTGTCTTCAAACCATGACTGATAATGATATCGGTTACTGGCTTGAGAGGTATTAACAGTACCAACAATCAAATCAATCTGATCAAACAATGAATTAGCAAAATTTTCAACGGTACTTATTTTTGTAGCATCAGCTGCAGTTCCATCTTTTTTAGTTACAGAAACAATGAGATGAACCATTGTTGCTTGTAAATCTGTGAAATCATCACTTGCAGGGACTAATATTTCAAAAGAATCTCCTTTTTCAATACTAGATGTAGGTCTATATTCTACTTGATAACTATGAGAAATTGCTGTTTGAGTTGGAGGAACGGAAAATATTTCAAGTTCTGACTTTGTAGCAGGAAAAGAGGATTGATGTAAATACTCCATTATTGGAAAATGTCAGTAAATTTTTTCTTTTGCGATGTTCTCTTTCGTTTTGCAGAGCTTTTCTTATTTGCTGAGTGCTTCGATGATAGCCTCTTAACTTTTTTTATCTTTCGCCTTTTTCTTATACCAGTACCGATCTGATCAATTGCATTGACAAGCTCAGTCAAACCAGATTTTGCTGCAGTTTTCAAACCTTCTCTACCTCTTGTTTTTAATGAGTTTTTCAGATTTTGATTATCAAGTACATCTTGTCCAATATCTAAACCTGTCCTAAACAATGATTTTAAAATTGGGATGCCAATTCTCTTCAGGAAACTTCCTATACCATAACCTCGTTGATAAGGCTGACCTTTGAAAACTTCAATATCATCAAGGCCTGCACCGGCTTGAGTCTTGTAATGACTTGAAAAATCACTATCACACGGACAATAAGTTTTATAATTCATTTCAATTTTTATTCATAAAATATCGTTGTTGTTCTTATACATCTTTCTAATGAAGTGTAAGCTGATGAAAATTCTTCCAGTTTTGAATTTCATTGGTGAACCCATTTCATCAGTAAGCTTGATACTGATATCTTCAATTTTATTGCTTCTAACGGGGTAGTAATGTGGTACATTATATGTCATTTGACCGATCTTATCGATTTGATCTCTCTTCAATGGCACAACTCTCAATAACCTTGTCTTGGAATCACCTACATAATGATCTTTTATAATATCAGTGTAAATAAACATGAGATGAGATTTAGTGCTAGTATCGGGTTTATGTTGAGCAATTCTAACAGAAGGATTATCAGATGATTCATCAGTTACCGCCATCATGTAATTGTGATGATCAAATCCAAGCATGTTCAACAAGATTTCATCAGCAAATGCCGGGTAAACAAAGGTGCTTGAATCAGGCATAACACCTCCTTCAATTGAGACTTTACTTTTCTTTTTTTCATCGTTAATCATTTTCAAAACGGGAGGTCGCACAGTCTCTGACCATGGTTTGTGCAGTCCTAAATCAGAATAAGCTTGAGCTAAAGTTTCATTCAATTCACTAATGAGACTTTCAATCGTATCATTTTCAAAAAAATCAAAAAGTACATATTTTTTAGTTGCACATGAAGGAAACCAGAAAGTAGTACGATGTTTGAGTACTTTATGAGCAAGAGGGTAAAATATTTCTCTTATTCCTACGAACCAATCACCTTCTAAATTAAGAGAGTCTCTCAGTCTATTTGTGAAATAACCAATTTTATTTTTAGGAAAAATATCCATAGAAGCATTGGATATCACATCAACAGTGAATTCATTGTCGCTGTACATCTTCGACCCAGCTATTGAATGTATTAGGATAACCTAACCATTTGACAAAATATTCAGTTTTTCCTGTTTTGCGGTTTTTACGACTTTTCAGTACTTTTTCAATCTTATACAGACTCTGAGCCTCAACTGGTTGCAGCTCATAATGATAGAATATTGAAGTAATTGGTTCATTATTCCAATCCACTAAATGATAGATGTAACCTTGAGGTGTCTTTTTCAATTTAACTATTTTGAATAATTCTTCAGTGAAGTTGCTAGTTGAACCTTTTTCAAATGCTCCCTTTGCTCTTGTTATTCTAACTAGTTGATCTTTTTTGTATGGTCTCGGATAACTTGAGATTTTCTTGTGACTTTTTCTTATATTTGACAAGACTTGCGCTTCATTATTTTTGTTAACCTCTGATGGCGCCATTTGAATAGTTCTATGAAAAGAGTTGTTGTAACCTGATACAATATCTTCTAAACTATTCAAGTAATGTAAACTATTAACTGAGTGTAAATATCTATGTATTCTTGTTCTCAAGGTTCTGTTGAATCTTTCAACTATCGCACACTTGATTATGTCATCTGTAGATGTGAAAAACTGTATGTTTAATGATTGTAATAGATGTTGAAATGAACTATTAATGAATTCTCTGCCTTGATCTGTTTGTAATTTTTGAGGTCTCCTTTCTTCAAATATGCTTTCAAATGCATTAATTATTGATGAAGCATTCTTGTTCTTCAGAGGACGTACCCAAGCATATCGACTGAATGTATCAATACACGTTAGTAAATACTTGACATTTGAATTTTCTTTGGAGATCCAGGACATGTCAAGTAGGTCAGCTTGCCATTGCTCATCAATATGATCAACAAGGATTGGTACCCTTAAAAAATTCCTTTTGACTTGCTTATACAAATTATATGTTTCTTGTTTGTTCAACCAATCAACTGTTTTATTGATTGTTAAATTAGGTAATTTGATTCTTGCTACATCAAACAATTTTTTCAAACCTCCAAATGAGCCACCAGATGTTGGATCATAGTATATCTTTTTCAAAACGCTAGACGTTTCAGATTCGTCCATGTCAAATCAGCTGTAGTATCAGCTCTTTGCATTAAATCTTTTACGTGTTTGTTTGCAACATAATGTTGAATTGAAGGGTTCTTTCTTATAACTTTAATGACCCTTCCAAGACCTTTTATTGGCATTTTCTGCTTTCTGGGTGAAGGATGTTTGATTCTCAAATAATGAACTATATCATGAATATTACTATTGGCTATTGGATTCCCAATATTATCCAAAATGTTTCCTTGTTCATCAACTAATTTTGGAATGTTTCTGAGAGTCATTTCCAAAGTTTTATCTCGTGTTATTGGTTCTTCATATTTTGCAAATCTAACTCTCGATTCTTTCTTAGGTGTTGACGTCAGAGGTAGTGAAATATGCTGTCTTACTCCATCATGTATTTCTGATTGATTATATTCAGGAGGGTAATAATTACTAGATGTTGAGTTTTTGATAGAAGCTTCAGAAATTGTTGAGAGTCCGTCACTTGGAAAGTATTGTAAAGATGGAAGGTCAGTCTGCAAAGCTTGAATATTTGGTATACTTTTATTTGAAAATTTGTCATATTTTGTTAGCATTTTAGTGAGCAAGTTTACTTTAACTTCATTTGGAAGGTTAGAGTTCACTAAAGTTTCGAATGAGTTTGTATTTCTATGGTATATTTTCTGTAATTGATCTTCAGGGATCAGAGCCATACGTGTAACAGTGTTCATTCTAAAATTCTATCTGCTGCAATTCTACCTAGGATTGTTATTACCGGAATCAACAAACTTGATAAAAAACCTCCTCCTCGCTGATTGATCAGATTTCTTTTTAAGTTGTGCAGCTTTGTAGATGCTATTTTTCTCAAAGTTTTCTTATAAGGGTTGAGTTTCTTTATTGCCTTTCCAGGAATTTTAATTGTTCCTTTTAAAACTTGTCTTATTATCTCACTTATCACAGAATAGATCTTTGGAGATGCATGTTTAAGGATCTTCTCACGCTTGATTGCAGTTTTTGCTTTAGCCAACTCTTTCAATGAAGGCAAACATAATGAACATCCTTTCAAAGTCATGATTCATCATTATTTGTTTTTCAAAATTCTTATACAACTACAGTAAATAAGATACAGCATAATTAGTTTCTCCAAGAATATTTTTCATTAGTCTTATTTCTTGAGGAGTGTCAGGTTTAAGATCGATAAAAAGATAACTAAAAGGGTCTCGAGTTGCATCTTGATATATAGTTTGAAATTTTTTCAATTTTAGTGGAAACATTTGTCTTGCAATATTTGTTGCTAATGATTGATCACGTGGATTCTTGAATAAAACTAGATATTGTGCATTGAGCGTTATGTTTCGTGATTCATTGCCTCTCATGAAGAAATTTTGTACAATTAAGATTATTGATAAGTTACGATGATGTGACCCTTTTGTGAACATCTCACTTATCGCTTTTGAGCTAGCTGATTCAATCATTAGATCATCAATAATAATCCATTCAGGGCTAGTACCATCAAACCTATCTAAAATATCATCAGGAAGTCCTCTGATAAACTCAACATTATTGAATGTTTCGAAAATTGACTGATATTCACCGTAAAAATAAGTAATTTTAGTAGGAACTGGTTTGCAATACTGATTAACCTGATTCACTAATTTTCTAATCCAAAAAGTTTTGCCGCAACCGGTTGGGCCACTCACAATCATTGTGAATGGATGCTTCAAATAAACATTGTAATAAGACATTTTAAATTCTTGAATTCTTTATTATTTTTCTCATTTCTTAGACAAGGTTATAAATTTGTATTACAACAAATACATGTATTGGTTTTTCATCAAAATTTGTTAATCACTTTGATCAAAGAAGACAGAAATGAAGTGTTTTCAATTCTGAATCTTATGACTCGCATGTTTGAGGCTGAGATTCTTTCTTTGAACATGTCTGCGGTAATGTTTACATCTAACTGCAATGGACATTTGATTTTACTAAGAAAAGGTGCAAAGATGTTATCGGGATGACTGCGAAGAGCTTCTTCTATCCGATCATCTTGAATAACAGGCCAGGTTGCTGAATCACCAGTAAAATTAGCAAGCCGGAGATAAATATAAATGTCTGCCAACAAGAAACAGAAATTTGATTTTTCAGATGATTCCATCCGCTTTGTCTCAAGAAACTTGTTGTAGACAGACAAAATATCGATCAGTTCCAGGTACTTATTCTCATTTACTTCAAATTTTTGATGACCTTTGATAGCAATGATATTATTCGCAGGTGTTTTTGTGATTGTTAAAGCAAAATAAGTAAAGACAGGATTAGTTTGAGCATCATAATTTTCCAAAAAGCTACAATAATTTTTCAGCTCTGAGAAGCTCAAAGCTATGCGATTCCTTGTTGATTGGCTACCATTGACTTCAACAATATTACATCGTGAGCAGGCAACTTGTCCGTTTGTGCCATGGGAGAGAAAAACTTGAATGTTTGAACAAAAAGTTAGCTCCAAAGCTTTTGTCCAATTCAAACGATTTATTTGCTGTTGTTGCTGAAGATCAGACATTTTGAAAAACTTGAGATTAATTCACTTTTCAATATACTCGAAGACAAACTCATTATATGAAGACGATTCACTTTATGAACCGAAAAAAAATTCACTGTACACTTTTATATTGATTATAAAAGTACTGCGCAACCGCATTCAATTTTTTTGATATTTTTCAACGATGCTAACGAAACAATTGTATGTTTCATCCATTTTTGCAATGCTTACATTACCAGTCATAACTACTGAGGATGAAGCATAGTACATTAAACAGATTCCCGCTGATCTCCAGTAAATCGCTGGATAAATTTCAGGCTCATATTCAAAACAGTTATTTTCAGATAACAATTTATGATTATTCACTTTGAAGGGTAGCTTCGTTTTCACAGTCAAATTTATGTTTCTCACGAATTCCAATTTTACTTGCTTGAAGTAACGTGAGAACATTTCTGCAACCGTTGTCACTGTTTTGAATCCTGTTGCTATTACTTTCCCAGATGCAAAAACTAATAAACAATTTCCTTTTTCCTTAATTACTTGAGCATTGTATTTCTTTTTGTAGATCTGATTCCTAGTGTCAATTTCAATCTGTTTACTTGTTTTCCATAATGATACAAGATTAACGATTTCAAGCTTTGTGTTACTCATTGTGACTGTCTGAGCTTTGTTAATTAAATGCATGTATTCGAAGATATTTATAGATATCAACAAAAAAAAAAATTTAAAACAAGAATCAGTATTTCATCCATAGAAAAGTAGTTTATGTGCAATATTCTATCAAATTCATTTTTTTTATAATGAATTAAAGTACATAAAATAATTTAAGATTCCCATGGTAAATTTCTATCTTATTTCAGTGTTTAGCATCATTAGAAAAGTTAGTAAACTTCGGTGTCAAATTACAGTGAGTTAGTATACGTCCTTTTCAAATCACGTGACTTCATAAGTCAATTAGCTTTTAACTCAAGCTTTCTGTATACTACTGCTGTATCAAAATAAGAAGTTAATAAACATTGGTGTCAAATTACATCATCTTAAAACTTGTTCAGGGTTAATGATTCTTGCTTATCTCAATGTAAATCATCTAAAGAGTGAGTTAGACAACATCGGTGTCAAATTACATGACTTCATAAGTTAATTAACTATTAACATAAGCTAAGTAAAATCAATAGATTTAAGTGTTATTTCTTCCCCCTTGCCTTATTTCAATCTCTAAAACATTTCCCCCTTCAATTGATTCTCATGCTCAATCTTTGAGCCTAATAATGATATCATTAAATCTCTTTATTTTTCATCTTTCTCCTATTAACTTCATAACTTCCTGTATCTAACTCATCGTATGTTGACATCATCGAAGGCTCAAACGCTCCTCACACCTTCCTGAGCTATCTAGTTCAACTCACGCCCCTTTAAATCCTCTAACTCAGGTAACAGGGTCTACGCCGGAATCGTTGGCGTTGAATTTCAAAACAGAAAGGAGGGTTCACCTCACTATGACGTCACTTCCGCTAAAACGACAAACGGAAGTGAGTTAAGGGTGAGGTGAACCCTGCTTTCTGTATACTACTGACATTGAATTAGTTACTGATTATGAAAAATCGCTTGGAAATTCGAAACGAATTAACATGAAGATTGTCGAAAATCTTTACTCATTATCCAGAGAAGTTAAAAAACTCTTTGGTGATATGAATGGATTTAAAGATGAAACCTTTTCACGACAAGCACTATATCAATGCCTAAAACGATTCAATATCTTAATAAAGATTTTTAGAACAAATTTCTTGGACAATTATTAAAGTTATTGTTTACCGAAATTGAATACATTAAATAAATTGAATGCAACTTGAAAACTAACTTGAATATAGAAATTTATTTTCTTTTAAATCAACTTTTACTCTTGCTCTGTAGCAAGTGAAATTTAATACTCGACAGGGAATAGCCATGCACTGGTCATCGAGTTATCCAATAAAATATATACTTTAGTTACCAAATGAAGAGTAAAAAGTGAAAAATATTAGCTGTTCCAATATCGATTAACAAAAGTTGTTGGCACTTTCATGGCAACTCTCTAGAGTGACTTCAATGCTAGAGTCTTTTGATAGAATCAAAGTTTAAAAATAACGAATGATAATTCGTTCCATGCATACAAGACAAAATACTTATATTTGCAATCAATAATCATGAGATACAGCATGATGATGAATGATATCTATGGTTGCCATAGCCAATCTAGCACCATTACCAAAACAACCAATGTTACTATCCATGGTAACAAAATTAAGATATTTTAAATATATCAATAGGATCAAGTTAACACTTTGCCGGATGTGAGATAAATCGATCAGTGTTTGATTGCAATATTCACGATAAAGTTAAACCTGAAAAATCTATTGTACTTTTTTCTTTTGATCAATGTTCATAAGGAACGAACCAGAAAAACTTATAAATGAGGATTTATCAAAGAGCAAAGTAACTTAAATTTATCCTACTCTTTGAGACTTTTGCTAAGCGTAGGCTTAGCAAAAGACCTTGTACCTTGTCCAGACAATCTACGTAGATTGTCTGGACAAGGTACTCCTGTGCATTTAAAATGTTATTATTAGTGTTATATTTTATTTTTAATAACCTGTGGGGAAAAAGTTTGAGAATTTTGGGTTTTTTCTCATATCTCGTAGGATAATGACTTTATTTTTCTGAAAATTCAGCATTTTATAGTTGAATAGTGTAGCTTTGATATCTGAGAAATCCAGAATGAAAAATCCAAAGGCCACTCCACATGGATTCTCCGCTCGAATTTGAAGAACAAAAACAATTTCAAGAAATGAATAACCCCATGTTATACCAAGTTTTTCCTACACAGTTTAGTTGCTTCCATCAGTTGTAAACACTGCACTCAACCTTAAATAATCTGAAAGCTTCATTGGAACTGTTTTCTGGTGAATTATAGTCAGAACAATGAAAGATTGTACTTGTAGTTTAGATATTTTATAACAATATATAATTACCAGTCTAAAGTGGAGTGGTTGTAAGAAGTAGTCTAATTCACCAGTCAAGAATAAATTTTAACTAATTACTTGATTTAATTTAATAGTTTACAACTCACCGATTATCAAATTAGACTAACAGTTCAATTAAAGCATGTCATATTCGGTTTCATTACCAGATGATTCATTACACTCTTATGATGGAGCCAAAAAACCGCCTCTTCAGCCCAAAGAACAACACTCAGATACTGAAACAACTAACTTTGAAGGTAAGCTTTTACAATTTTGCTAACTTAAGAGTAAGAGTAAGAGTTTTGATCTGACCCCGCAATTTGATAGCATATTTAATTAATGTTTTACAATGTTCTGAAAGATAATTGGATGCCATCACCACTGGTATTGAATTGTCCACCAGGATTGGAATATTTAACTAAAATTGATAAATTTTTTGTCAATAAGAAACATGATCCTCTTGAGTCGGAGAACAAATATCTTATCAAAAACGATTTGGCTCAAAAAGTTTATACTGCAGTTGAAAGTAAGATATCAACTAATATTAATAACTAGTCATTTCTTATTGTTATTGTTATTCTTATTGTCACTTCTACGTCCCTCAGAGTACGATAAATGCTGTATGATTTGTTGTAACACGACCAGACCATTCGATATAAAAGTTTTCGATTTCCAGGAACGTGAAGTGCTTAATTTCAACCGGTAAATCGTTTTTACTTTTTTTCAAAAATCAATTTGTATTTTAATCAATCAATACTATTGTAAGGCTTGGGTGGTTCTTCTGGTTTCGATCTGATTGCAGATGCTTTGAATCAATATCAGCTTCATCAATTATCTAAATTTGTCAAGGCAAATCAGCAACATACGTATATTTGTTTTTATATCTTCCTTTCCATTCAGCTCAGTTTTCATTTTTTTCGAACTGGAAAGAAAGAAAGAGGAAATTATAAAACACGGATTGTCAAAAAATATAGTCTTAAAATTGTGTCATCTCAGTTCTTTCCATTTTTTGGATTAAGATATTTGTATTATTTGTACAACCTATGAACTTTGCAGTTACTTCTGTTCATCTTGATTCTCTCACCTTTCTTTCTTGTTTGAATCTGCTTCGACAAACTGATATTCAATGAAGACATTTGGCTTGTCCAGGCAAAAATTTAGTCGATTCACTGATTTATCTAAATGCCATTCATTTAATCGTTTCTTCTCCATTCTTTAATCAGACCTTTAGGATGTCAATCTTGTTGGTGCCCCTGTTGCCTTCAAAGTGTGAAAGTTACAGCTTCTGGTACTTTATGTGGTTTCATCAAGCAATCATGGCGTCCTTTTTCACCTAAATTCAGAATCTGTGATGCTACTGGGAAAACTGTCTTACTAATCAAAGGACCATGTGACATAACTTACATTTTAACAAAATTCAAAGTATTATCATGTGATGGTAAAACTGAAGTTGGCCACGTTTCTGCATATTTGGCTAGTATAATACCAAAGCAACTTCCCAATGATCACTTTAGCATTTCATTTCCAATGGATTTAGATTTTAATATTAAAGCTGTGTTATTGGCCGCTTCCATCCTAATTGTAAGTATATTTATTGGTAAGATTCGATTTAATTAATGATCTGATTTCGTTCTTTTTTGGTAAGGATTGCCTGTTCTATAAAAGTGCACAAAGGAATCACGCCAGTCCTGCATTTGAAGCAGGTTTCGAGGCTGGACATTGTTTCGCCATGTGTATGATGCATTGATTAATTCATCTGCATCAAGACAATAATCATTAAACTATTCAATATCAATATTGATGTTTAAAACAGAAATTTGAAAGATTGACTAAATGCTAATAACTGTTTATTTGGTCGGATTTACTCGAACTGTATTGCTTTTTTCCGAAACAATTTGGGTCAATTATTGGATAACTTTTTATGATGCTATTTGGACATTAAATTTTTGGATTTGTAACTTTTTTACAATCAAAAATTAATTGTTTATTGCTTTAGGACACAAATCAATTCTTATAAACCTAGCCTTAAAGTAACTCCAAAATATCACTAGCGACATTATCATAACAATCGGGTGGATTAAAAGCTTCGAAACCATTGACATTGAAAGATCATTCAGAACTTAAATTGTCCAACCCTGGATTATTTCTAGCTTGTTTATAAGAAAATATTTCCATATAATCAGAACAATTTTTTTATGGCCAAATGAAATTAATTTTCGTGTTATAAGATCATTGAGTTCTTAAACTGAACTTATTCATTATTTTAAGCAATGGTGCTTGAATAATTGCTTTAGCATTGGTCCGAGTATATCATTTGCAAAAAATCATAAAAATCTGAAGCTGCTATCATTTCAACCGACTGTAACCAGCAATAGTGACCTTAATTTTGACTCTTTTTTCTTCTTCACTGGAAGAAACAAATTATACCTTTGATGGCGAAGACTCAGATGATCTACTGGCAAAGGTTTGCAATTCATAATATCATAAAGATCCGTCGAGGGAGCAGCACGATTGACCTAAACTCGAGAGTCTAGAAATACTTGAATATACAAAAAAATACAAAGTTTAAGCAATTAATTACCGAAATCAATAGTTAATTCCCGCAATACGCTTTGATAGAAATTGGAAAGATAAACTCGATCAAGTTCCAATGAATTAACTGGGTACTTATTAATAATGTACCCAAATCAGAGAGTGTGAAGCAAGGGATCATGAAAGCAGCATCCATCAAGGCGTTTATTTAGATTGAACGATTTCAGTCAATGAATAAAAGATGGTTTCAATTAACATTCGTATCATTTCTGTATGTACAATATACATTATTGGTCCATTTGTTAGAATTGAATGTGTTTGTTAATTTCATCTTAACATGTCATCTTCACTGCATAATGAAAGATACAAAATGCTGTTAATATTATCAGCTGTAGTCATTTTACTTTCAACAATTAAAACAGGTAAGAAAAAGATATTGATTAATCGACTGAAGATATAAATTAAATCCATTTCTAATCCAACTCATGTCAACATAGGAAATGCTAGAACATTGGTGGACTTACCTTTGTACATACCTATCAAAAGCGTTAACATTCACGCTACTCTAACTGATGCCGTAAGTTAAACAATCAACCGTCGTCACTATTTTAACTCTTAATACTATCCGTCTTAGCATGGAACCAATAAATATTTTATTCAAGAATCAATATCAGCTTTTCATGCAACCATCAAAGGCAAAATTGTGATCTCAGGTGAAAAGGACAACAATACGCCAACATCCTACATCTATTATAATACTGACCCTACTTTTAACAAGGAACGCTTGGTTATTCACGGTAAGACTTTAACAAGGAATGATAAAAAATGATAAATAACATTAATATGATTCGAATTGTGAGAAAATTGTTGGTTAACTTAAATTCATCAAAAAACTAGACATTCAAATAGAACTAAATTGAGCTATATTCACTAACGACATTCCCTATTAAATTATCTTAAAAATCCTTATTTTTTCATGATTTAAAGGTACAAATTGTTTAGTATTTACTTACAAGAACAATTGGGATCAAACTTTACCTGGAATCAACAAACCTGTAACTAATCTGGTGCTCTTAATGGGACCTTCAATTTTATACCGACTTGGCGATTCCTCACTTGTTTGGGTAAGTATGTTGGCAACATTATGAGAATTTTTCAATCAAATTCATTTATCGAATAACAGAAATCAGTTAGAGATGCAAACATAAGAGGAACCATGATGAAGGGGGCAACAACTGAAATAAATAAACTATTGAATATCACTTATTATCACAAAAGTGAGTAGAAATTAATTGATTAGATTAACTGAAGTTAATTGAATACCTAGATGAACCAAGTTTAACCATTCTCGTTCTTTTCATTTGCCATAAACTAGAGCATTTTGATGACTATTCTGGAATTCGAAATCCAAGTCGAATTGAATTCAGTGGTTATGATCCATACTCAACTGTACAAAGTTACCAAGAGAATCTAATTCTTGATATTTACGTTCAAAATGAGGACTATTACGATGAACTTGCGACTGAAGTTAGTGTAAGTGTTTCCCTTTGTTTCTCTATTATTCACATTAATAGTTTTTAATTTACAGTGAAAATCATAATATCACAATATTATGAGACACAGAGCATTGCAGAGCTTGCTATTATGCTCATAAAAATTATTTCGAAACACTTAATACTAAAAAAGATTGAACTCATGATTATTCAGGAATGAAGTACAGGTGTCTCTCAATTAGAATTGAATTTTGACCTTTTCTTAAAGCAAAACAAACGCCTTTTAAATATCGAAGAGATCAATAGACTTTCACATTTACACATTTTTTACTCTTGACTTTTGATTAGCCTTTACCTGGAATTGGATGCCCACATTACTTATCCGCAGGCTTGCCTTCATTGCCGCTATTGAAAACTAATTATGCACATTTCACAATGGTCGAGTCCATTCAAGGTTCAACTAATTCTCGAACACTCAACGAGGTTAGTTTATTTGATCAAGTATTTTCAATTTTACATTCATTTTCATTTCATATCCAGATTCATGCATCAGGAAATAACAACTTATTAAGATTGAAATCAAATGTTCTGGGTGTAAAAACTGAAGCTATTTATGATTATCAACTTGGAGTTATTACCTCCTGCAAGAGGGTGACTCCTGTAAAATGGCACCTACAGATTTGCATTCACCTGGAATCAGTTCTTATCGTAACTTCAATTTGGCAAGTCTTTTTCTTATTGATTCCTTAATGAATGCTTTCAAATATCTTGGAAAGTACAACTTGGTAAGTGATCAAAAAAAAATTTGTAATTTTATGCATCAAATTTCATTGATCTATTTTTTCAATTTTCCTAGGAACACTCATCTGGATTTGCTGTAGATGCATGGGAATCAATCAGAGCTAATGTTAATATTAATGGGAAAATGGTCGACAGAGCGGTCATTACTCAATATTTTGCCGAGTCGGTAAGTTTATCTTAGTTTTAATTAAGTTAAACTATACTCTAGTGTAATAGCAAATAATAGTAAATAAGATAAAACAATTGTAGTGCAAATAGTGAAAATAGGGAAAATAAGGTTATTAAAAGTGAGATAAACATATGATTTTCTTGTGTAACCTAATTTTTAATTTCTCATTCAACATGTGCTAAAATATTCAATCGAAATGGTTTTAAGCAAGATAGTGAAATATTTCAACACTATACACTGGTCAGAACCACAATTGCCACCTATAAATTAGATTCATCGGTAAGTATTTATTCAAATGATTATGATTCGCAAAAGATTCATGTTTCTTGTCATATTTTTGTCTTTTACTAGAAAAAAACTTCAACTTTGGAGGAGAGCATCACACGAGATTACATGAGCTTTGAAACTGGATCTAAAGATGAATTTCATGATATTTTTACATTAAAAGAGTGTAAATACTTGTATAGTGATAAAACATTAACCCTTGCCTTCAAATTACAACGTGAAGGTATGTGATAATCAATATTTAAGAATAGAAGGTTATGTATTAATAATTTTCTTTTCCCTTTCAGGTGTAAATAATCCTTTACAAAAACTCACGGAAAGTCATGTTTACGAGTTGAAACAAAGCTTGATATATTTTACATTTTTACCCAAAAAAATCAGTCCACTTCGAATCGATAACGTTCAATGTAATTTGAATGATGAAAAAATTGAAATAGAAGTGACATTCCGAGATTCCCCTGACTTTAAATGTAATTATCATTTGAAATTGCACATTCACACAATTTATTTCAATTGTTAACCTTTCTTCTTTTCCAGATATTTTCAACTCTAAAACTATGTTTGTCAGTCCAGATACATTTAAACAGATGCAAGCAATCAAAGCAGACAATGAATATGAATGTCTGGATATATTATCAAAAAATCAAGATACAATCAGGTATATATCCCATATTTGTACATATTTTGATGCAATTGAAAATAATAATTTTGTTCTTCTTTTCTTGTTTAGTGTAGTAATTTATAGATACTCAGATTCTACTTGCGGATATTTGCGAAATTTCGGAGATCTCAAGGAAGATATTAAAATCGGAGAATCATGCACCGTCTATCACTTTCCTTTACATAATTTGGGTCGCGTTTACCAAGAAATACCACTTGATCAAATTCATAATACTTTTTTGCAAGATGTAGGGCAAAGTTATCATTTGCTTAGGGAATATCATGGTAAGTACTTCTCAGCCTTTAGCTATACTGAGCGTACAGGTGAAATATTTCCACTTATACCTTTTGAATTTTTCAACAATTATAATCAAATACCCATTTGGGTAGTGTGGATATTTATACAATGTAGTCAGGAAAAATCATCTGACTGTGCAACCATTATCTTAAGACTGTCCTTAGTTCATAAGTTAACCAAGTAAAATGTTGAAATTTTCTCAATTAATTTGGCCTGCTTTTGCTGTGGGATACAAAAGTGGGAATATATCACTCAAGATCTAGAACCTAGAACTCATCAAAATTTCTTTTCTTTCAGCCGAAACTTATAAAGTAATTGATGTCATCGATAAAACGAAAAGCCAAGTTGCCTCGGCTGGGGACTTTGTATCAACCATTCAAGCTGGTGCAAAATTAAATAGCAATCATAAAGTTACAGTGACTGTACCTAATGTGAAAACTTTTGCCGATTGTTACCGAACCTGTCATGATTCAGAGCAACTTAAATGCAATACTTTCTCGTTCTGTGAAAATGGTGACTGTAGAGTCAGCAGCTTATTAACTGAAGACTCGTATAATGAATCGCACATTGAACAAGACAAAACATGTTATATTTACTCTTCGACTGTTTTCAATGATTACTCAGAAGTACCTCATAGGAAATTTAAAACTCAAACTTCAATCGCAGATGACAAAGATGTTCATTATTGTGCAGAATTGTGTCATGCTTCGCCTGATTGTTTTTCTTTCCAATCTTGTGGTTATGGTTGTAGTTTTGGTGGTGTTTATACAGATGCAAATACTGAATATGACGAAGAATGCAGTATATATATTCGTAAGTATTCTTGAAAATGGGTAACATTTAAGTTTGGTCGAATTAATTTCTTGTTCCTTAATTGAATTAGCCAAAGTATATCAAAAATACCAAAAGACGGGCAATAAAATCGCATCAGATGTGTTTTACACTGATATGAATTTAAATTTTGAACAATGTGCCTCATTATGTCATGGATGGTCCGATGGTGAAACTGGATGTAAATCATTCAATTATTGTCCTAAGAGTAAAACAGAAAGTTCTTGTTCATTAATCAAATTTTCAGTCAAAAGTTCAAATACTAAAACCAGTGAAGGAGGCGATTGTTCAAATTATGAGTTGAAAGTTGGCTCAAATGCAAAGAAAAGCAAAGAATCCAGTTCGATTGAGGTAACGAAAGGAACAAGTGGATCAGGAGCTTTTGGAATAATTATGCTGTTTTCGTTTGTCGGTGCTTTATTGGGATTCGCTGTCCCACTTGGTTACTCAAAAGTTAAACAAATGCGTAATGCTCCAGAAGCCAAGAAAAGTTTCAATTGGACAAGACAGGTAGATGAACAAGCTGAAAATATCAACTGAATCTTATTGTAAACCTACTTTGATCTGCAAGGCTCAATCCATGATATTCATGTAGATTCAATTGTGAGTGTAAACAGTTCCAAAATCTAGCTTTTCAAGAACAGGCTGTTAATAGCCATCAAGATATGAATTTCAATGCACAGCTAAAATTCAAATTTTGTCAGCGAAACCTTTCAACAATGTTTCTAATCTAACGCAAGAAAAATGTTAGAAAGGTTTGTTATTCATTATATGAAACTTGCTTATTAAAATGTGATGTTGGAATAAAAAGGGATAATCTTTCTTCCACCACATCCAATGAATAACCAGAAGATAAACCCAAGCTCTTACAGTTCATTACCAGATAAATATCAGTAAATTAATCAATGGCCCCTCTATTTACAATGTGAACTTCACATGTCTTACATGTGTATAAAGAAAGTTTTGATTGAAATTATCGAGATATTATTGGAAAATTATAAAATGGGCTAACTTCACCAAATTTTCATCTGCAATGCCTCATACCGTGAGGTTGAATATCAAATTTGGTTGAGATTGGTCCAGTAGTTTTAACTAACATTAAAAGAAGTTCTGTAAAAAATGTTCGTTAAAGTTTTAAAGAAAAAAGGTCCAACAATAATCATCATAAACAATAATATCACTCAACTATTACAGCATAAGTAAATGATGATTTAATTATGGGCAATGCTCTACAAACTTATTCACGAAATCATAGTTGAACACTATGAAGATTGGCTAGACTGGTATAATAAATCAACTGTTCATATCTAAGCGCGAAAAAATTAAACAGTTTTCAAATTTTTTCTTCTCAAATTGAGATTTCATGGTCTTATTTCAAACACGTAGCTGATTACAGTCAACTGAGTGGAATTTATTGAAGGTTTCTGATAAAACTAAATTCTTTACCAGTTTCCGATAAAATGTTCAAATGGGTAAAATGTATCAGTGCATTAAGAGGTGTTTCTCTGGAATAACTGTACAGTTCTAGTGTATCCATAGTTAGAATGACTGGAATCAGTACGATCTGATTTTTCAGACCAATATTTTCAAGTCGATTTGAAGCTGTTGCCATTAAAATATATTAGCGAAGGATGTCATTAGCTTTTAATTTGTATGTTGTATTTTGGTTTGTAAAGACATCATGTTTATTAACAGTTAGACAAGTTTTAATATTGACAAGTTCATTCAGGTTTAAATTCAAAGGATTATTTTTGACCTTTTTTACATTCTCATGCAAAGAAACTGACAACGACTTTTGACATTGATCATTAAATTTTCAAATTTGTATCAATATATTAATATTAATATTAAGCCTTTTTTGTCAGTAATTTTGACAATCTTTCTCATTCAGATGCTTGTTTGATCACATTGGTTAGTTCACTCATTTCCATCCAAAATTGAAAGATGATAATGTAGATGAATATTCACAATTGACTGATGTGTTAGTTTGGTCAAAAATTATTCACAGAAGGTTGAAACATCAGAAATAATCCTCAGTTTTCAAGTCTAAGCTTCTTTGAAACCTGTCGTTTTATTAATAAAATAATTTAATTCTGGTGAACAAATGGGTGACAATATTTTGATGAAGCCAATGAAGGGAAATTAAACGTAATCAAATGATAGATTTGATTCAATTTTAATTCTTATCTTCTAAATTTGCAGGCTGTTAAGTGTTACACCCTTTAACAAGTTACAATAACAAATATTTGTTTTGAATAAAATCCATAAGGTGGAACTGATGGTTGAAACAGAATAAAGTTTTTCTCTCTTCAGTGTAATCTTTTGCCTTGTTAGTCATCAAATTTTTGTGTTCCATTTTCAAGTTCAAATTGTTTTGAGGTTCTCGGAAACGTGAGCAATAATTCAAGTGCATATTGAATTTATTTTACATTTTTTTCAATCTTCTACAGTAATTTTTGTGAGATCAAAGAGGGCGTCTTTTGGTGCGGCTGTGCTTGATAAGATTATTCTTTTAATTTTATGAGTACCGATAAACCTATCTGCTAATCTGGAAATGTTTTTGTTTTGAGCGTAAACAATGAGTTTACGAAATGCTACCTGTAATCTTTTCATTGTTAAAAGACTCACACATAAATAGTGAAGTCTATCCGATGTAAATTTCAATGTCGGTTTATTTTTTTGTAATAAACAAGTGTTTGACAGCAATATTCAACATTGTGTTAAGAGTGGATAACGTCTTCAAAGTTGATTTCAATCAAAGTGATAAAAATGGCAAAAATTACTTCCAAAGAGGTTTGGGAACTTGCTAAACTTTTGAGAATCGATGTTTTCTTCTTTTTGGCAACTTTAAGTACTTCATTACCTGGAATCGCTCTCAACCAACTGATGCAGGATAAATATTGTATAAACGCGTATTCGCAAAATGAAAGTGTCTGTTTGGATTTGGAAAAGGCTGGACCTGAATTGGATGCAGTTAAGAATGGTGTATTGAAAGATACGACAACACTTAAAATGCATATTACTCTAATGACAACAATACCAGCGATTATTTTATCACTCATTTTGGGTTATTGGATGGATAAATATCCTGGTCATCTAAGGTATCTTCTTGGTTCAGCATCTTTAGCAAACATTTGTCAGCACATCATGATTATACATCAATGTTTACATTTTGAAATGGGTAAGTAATAGATACTCGTGATTGATTAGGGATCTATACACTACTTATTGAAATCATTTGATGCTCAACGTTCATTTTTTTTAGGCGCTGACTCGTTATTATGGACGCATTTGGTTCCAGTGTTCACTGGGAGCGGGATAATTATCTCAATAGGAACCTTTACTTATGCAACAAGAAAGACACCAGCCAAGTTTCGAGCTGTTAGGTTTACAATAATCGAAATTTGCTTATTTGCAAGTAAGTTAATATTTCAATCAAAACTCATTATTGAATTATAAATGATTAATATTATTATACTTGAATTTTTCAATGACAGCCATGCCTGTTGCAAGCCTTTTAGGAGGAGGTTTACTCGCATCTAAACCATGGTTTCCAAACCAGCTTCGTAACTACATTGGAGTTTATATCATTTCATCGGTATTAGCGATTATTGCGGCTGTTTGGGTTATGTTGATGCTATATGACGCTGCTGACGATGAGGTTAAAACAGATGAATCTCAACCCAATGTTGATGCTCCAAGTTCCAAAAATATTGAAACCAAGAAGAAAACAGTGAAACAAATAATTTATGATATAATAAAACCAGAAAATATCCTTCATGCAAGTCGCACAGTTTTCAAAAAGAGACCAAATAATGCTCATTGGTATTTGCTATCAACAATACTGACTGGAATTATAGCAAACATTTGTTATTTGGGTGAACAAAACATAGGATTCCAGTTTAGCCAAAAAGTATATCATTGGAGTGCTGAACAAATCGGAAATTACGGCTCCATTGTCATTATTTTCCCTGCTTTGGGCGCACTTATTGGTCCTCCACTGTTCATTCATAAAATGAACCTTCATGATACTTCATTGGCCATGATTGGTATTGTTTCAATAATGGTGGCTTTCCTCGCCAAAGGTTTTATTCTTAGTCCGATAGCCTACTTCTTCGTCATATTTGGTTCTTTTGCTGGTGTCATATTTGTTGCTGATCGATCAATCATTTCACGTTTGATTCATAAAGACGAGATTGGACAAGTTTACGCCTTTTCATCAGCTATTGGTGGATTCGCTCCAACAATTTCATCAGTGTTTTACAGCGAAGTATTTACAGCAACATTAGACTACAATCCTGGTATTGTTTACATAATTACTGGTTTCTTATTCACCATTCCTTTAGCTAACGCTATTTTGCTCAACATAAAGAAGCAGAAATGGGATTTAGTTTTGATTGCTGAAAAGGAAAAGGAAACTCAAGAAAACAAAGTGGAACTTACATCTAAAAAATAACGAAATCAATTTACTGGACACTTTCCTTACATTGTTAATAACATAATTTCAATGCAAATTAGATTCTCACTTTTATCTTTACAAAGTCTTCATTTAAAACAGATCTAATCACTCATACCTTGCAAATAATTCAACCAATTTTTACGATGCTTCAATTATACATAAAAAAGATTAATGAACCCTTTTAGTCAATTTTTGTAACATGAATTAATATAACATTTTACATTGTGATATATCAATAACTTAATAAAGTTTAAAAATCATGTTCATGAATCTCCAATCAATTTTAATGTCCCAGTCAATGTTTGCAACCACGCCAGAGCCACGCACATTTAAAGAAAGGGCCAAATAAGGTTTATGCGTCAGCGTTTATGCCAATTTTTGTAAAATATAGCAGAGAAGTGCGACGCAAAACAATGTCATTTTTCATTGCATTTTTTGCTTAGATGCCATTTTAATGTCAATTAAACTAAAGAATCAGAAAGAAGCGGAAAATTTGAACAATAAATATTTTATTGGATACAAATTATCAACATACTTAGCAATTTTTTGTGACGTTCGTTAAAGAAGCATGACGGTGGGTTCAGTTTCAATGATATCTTCCGAGTATTCAAAAAGATTTTCTTTTTCCAATTGATAATTGCTTCCATAGTCAATGAAATATACATAAGCTGTATTACGGACAGATCCAATCAATGCTCGTTTTATAAGAACAGTTGGACCAGAAACATCCTTTACAATTGTAAGGATAGCATAGCGCACATCTATCATACTGCGGTAATTTTGATTTTCAATTTGAAAGCCTTTCTTTAACCATTTTGTAAGCTTCTTCTGTTATTGATGATTCTGCGATGCTAACACTCAACGACGATTCACCATCCAAAGCATAACTTCCAGATGTTGAATGATGAATCAATATCACTTTGCAATTATATTTAGAAAAACTTAATGACCAAGATTCAATTGCTTTAAGACATTGTTCGATTTGTATCATGTCGTTGACACAAGCATATCTCAATGTCTTGTGTGTCTTTGTGTCTGTCATTGCTTCCGAAATAGAGGTGACAGCAACTTCACACATTCAACTTTGGTTTTATCTCATTGAAGCAGCTTTCTATCGTATATTGGTGACCATCCAATTGTTTCATTTCATTGATCAATTTTTTGTTGAAATTTTCAATGGCATCAATCTTCTCCAGTAGATCCACACTGGAAGTGCTTGCAAGCTCCATAGCTTGTCAAATTCGCTTCTCACTGTTGCATCAAATCTTTACAGTTGTAAGTCTTTTTTAAGTAAAAAGCGATTGTTTCACCATGAGCCATAAAATGCGGCAAGCAAATATACTTGTCTCCATCTTTTTCTTTGTACTCAGTAATAAATGAATTACAGTCATCACAAAATGGTGCTTCACCTTTGACGCAAAAACATGTCCATCCAGCCATTTCACCACATTCCGAATAATATTGACATTTAGGTTTATTTTTTAGTTCAATATAATCGTCAAAACAAATGGCAAGATTACAATTTTTACGTACACTTCTTTTCGCAACACAATCATCAAAATTTATAGCGTAAAACTTGTGTAGATAGAATTGTGAGATAGAATTGGTCCAACTGATTTACTCCAGTTGAACAATTTTCACATGAAACCAAGTCGATGTTATCTAAAAAGAAGGAACAAAATGTTATTCAATGACATTGAATCAGATTCTGAATTATCCATTAGATTCTTCCATTACAATGAGTTCATTCCTAACGAAAACTAAATCAAAGAAATCAATAATATTTTTAAAGTTGAATTGAAAAATGCTTTGAATCTAAAGGTTGGTACTATAAAGCCATAATAACCATAATAACATTAAACATCTTACAGCGCCATGTGTTTGTGAAATTTTATACTTTTTTGACTTAAAATTACCAGACTTCAAACCAACTTTAAACAACTTAAGCACGTTTTTTGACTACAGTTAGCTCCCGAATAATGAGAATACCAGATAATGAGAATGCATTTTCCAACGACCCCTCAATGGAAGAGTTTAATTAAATTTTCTTTGAATTTCTTCGATTATTATCAATAATTCACTAAATCTAATTTTCTTTCGTCAAATATCCATATAGAAACTCAAGAAATCAGTGTAAAAAGCAATTTATCTTAAATTTGATTAGTTAAAGAAAGTTGATGGTCAGTAAAATAAGTTGCCTGGTTAATAGTGTAAATAAGCTATTTCAATGTATTCTCATTTTCTGGTAGCTTACTGTATTTGTTATTATTAGTATTTATTAGGATTATTGTGCTTTAGGTTATTTTTATTTGTGAACAAGACGCATTATGCCACCAAAGGTAAGCGAATTCTAAGACAAATCTTAACCTTGCTATTTATTAACAAAAGGAGGGAAAAAAGAAGGTTGCTTGTGTCAACAAACGGTACGCCGACCCGAAGGACATTACACTGGAAAATGCTGACGATGATGAATCACCTGTACCCATTCGAGAGGAGAAGGATCCTGATATTAAAACATTTTGCGAATTCAAAAAAGAAACAAAGGAGAAAAAAGAAACAACAGAGGAAAAAGAATATATGCCTGTCCGCATTGTGGTTTCGTCTTTACCCCTGGTAGGCTGGATAATTGCTTGAGTCACATGAATGGAACGGAAACAAAAGCACCAACTTTTTCTTCCAGATTGAAGGAATATTCTGATGTTACCATTAACTCACCTTTAGAACCAAAATGTTTGGGAGACGGTGCGTGGAAGTACAATGTTTTATTTAAGTAGTGATGAAAGGCGGTGGGAGGCGGTTTGGGAATGTACAATGTTTTGATCATAATGTGCTTCTTGCAACTATAAAGTAACTTTAATTATTGCATTTCTCGCATTTGAAATAAACATAATTTTGTTTTGTTGTACACTTTTTATGGACCCAGTTTCTGCAAATAATACATAAGACCATTCCACATTCTTTAGTCGCTATGCAAGTCATGCAGTAATGATTGTTGATTGTTGTTTTCATTTCTGGTCTTATCTCGACAGACAGAACATTGGTGTCCTTAAGATCCTGTGAACGAGTTGAGAAATCTATCTCGTCATTCATTTTAGAAATTTGTTTGGTTATAACTTACTGTTTTTGACGGATGGCATCATAATGGGCAGAGAAGCTTTTGAAAGAAAAAACTTAATGAATATTCGCACTTCTGTGGTCTCTTATTATTAGTCTCTTGAACTATGGAAAGCAGATTCAGACACACGAAAACACCGCAATCATACCAGTTATCTTGCTGCAATAGAAGCGTAAATGGTTCTCCAACTTAATCTACAACGTAGCTGTCCGATAAAATGAAGCACATCTTAACAATATGCAACTGTAACTAAAATAGCTTTTCCTGGCAACACTAGTCGCCAACTTTTATAAAATGTAAAATTAGTTACTTGGCAAACATGTGTTGCCAAGATGTTGTACAGACCTAATATGGCGTTAGAAACAGCTCTAGTTTAGTCCCTTAATTAATGCAAGAAACTTATAAAAGGGGAAAGAATAAAGGAAAGATTTTACTTTCTCTCGGAAAATGATGAAGAGAAAGGTTATTGCGGACAGTTTTGGTGGAGTGCCGAGTAGGCAAATTGAAAAATTTCTTTTTGTGCTGTGAAATTTAAAGCCTTCTCTTTCTTACAAAAACTATCTAGTCTAAAGAAATAAATTTCCAAAGTATTACAAGCAAAATCTATCAATAAATTTAATTATTATAGTAAAAAAACAATTAAAAATACTATCTAAACCACCGAAAGTAATACAACTGTAACCGAAATAAGTTGCTAATGTTTATCTTATTTTAATAGCTATTCATATTGCCTTTTTTAATTTACTTTAGATAAATTTGTTGCTATCCTAATTTAACCATAATGTTTACGTTAAATGTATCTGGGAAAATTATATAAATACTTTATGTTTAATGCAAAATAAAGATTCAGATTCCATTGAAAAGACTTCACAACATTACCAAAAATAGTGATACAACCAATACCACTAAAAGTGATACAACTTTGCCACAAATAGTGATACAACTCTATCATTAAAGGTGGTAAAAATTTACCATATTGGTAATTTTGACGACAATCTAAAAGTAAATTTGAATGAATTATGATATATTGCATGAGAAACGGATAAATTTTACTTGAACTTTTAACGATCAAATTTCGATCTTATAATCAATTATAACTATCACGTCCTTGTAATAGACAACCAATGCTTAATGAAAGAAAATTTTAAATCAAATTGTATTTATCCTACATCGGTAAAGATAGCTGAATAGCCCTGTACATTAACCAAGTAGAAATTTTGACCTATGAATAATCAAACCCTGTGTTATAGCTATAAGATAATAATTATCATCATAAACCTATCTAAACCAGTTTTTTGAATTACCTTTAAACAAATTCTTTTGCAGCAACAAAAAATACTCTAATATTCAAATAATAAACCTCATGTCTTGTGATTACAGCCCATTCAGTGACCCTCACAAGGTGTGCTTTTTTTCTTTGAACGTAATTAGGATTATCCTTGGCCCAAAAACCCATATTTTAATAAAATAAAATGTGCCTCATCCGAGAATATAATTTTTTCATGGTCAATCGTCTTGTCCTCCAGCTTAGCATAAATACTAGTGCAGAATTACTTGAGAATTACTAGTTATTACGTCCAGCCATGTGCTGTTCGTTTAAAGCTTGGTGCACCGAAACCTTGTATGGATGAAACTTGAGAAAATGTTGTAGGATGGTTCGCAGACTTTCTCTGTTAATTCTAAGCATTTGGCCTGCTCTCCTGATGGATTCTCTTGAGTTTTCGTCATGCAACTGTTCAACTTTTTCAAGAGTTTCGGGAGTAGTAACACTTATTCTCAAGACCTCGGATTATCTAAACCAACTGTGCTACGGCAATTCAAAATGCTACGATCGGTAAGTATTTCCAATTATTTCAAAGTATTTCCAAGTATTTCTAAAAATTAATGATTTTTTTATTTTTTAGATGTGTTATAATATTTTAAATAGGAATAATACTAAAATCGAAGGCTATGGTGAGATCGTCGAAATCGACGAAACAATGGTTTACAAAAGGAAAAGCCATGTTGGACGACTAACAGCAGATGAAAAAAATCAAGTTTGGAGTCTTGGTGGAATCGATCGAAAATCTAAATTATGTTTTGCTGAAATCGTACCAAAAGAGATGAAGCTACATTACTATCGGTTTTGCAAAAACATGTTTTGATGGGAACAACAATTTATTCAGATGGATGGGCAAGTTATAAAAATTTGCAACACCATGGCTATTTTCATGATTTTGTTAATCATTCTACGAATTTTTTGAAACCCGGGGAAGAAGGTGTTAATACTCAAATGATTGAGAGGAAATGGAGGTCCCTAAAAGAACATTTACTGGTATCCTCGAATGGTGAAAATAAACATGTTCATTTGATGGATTTTTTGTACAAATCAATGTACCACTCGAAAAATCAACCTTCCCTTAATTTTCAAATAACCTTAGAACATCTACAAAATGGTCCTCTTTCTTATTTTCTTGATTTTTGATGATTAAATTTTTTCTCTTGTATATATTGTATTTATCGTCAATTAACTTAACTAAATCTTAAAGAAAATTGGAAATACCGCCAGTTAATCCTATTGGACATTTGTTTAGATTTAGCTGTCAAGCCGATAACAAGAAGAGCTGGAAGAGTAAAGAGTGAGCTGACGGGTTCTCGTTTACCCTTACCAAAAATGCAAATATAGAGGCCAAAGTAGTAAAATTCATTAAAGTTGTCATACATGTGTTAAAACAGGTGAAAGTCATAAAAAGCTAACTGAAGAGAAGAAGGTTCTAGTCGCTAAACTGAGGATGAAATGAAATCGATCGGTCACGATGAAATGAGGAAGAACGGTACATATATTAATGAACTTTTGAAAGTTAAATCATAACAATATTGACAAAAAAGAAACAAGATTGCTCATATTTGGAAAAAAAACAGCTCCCATTGAACAACATTGATTTTAATCAACATACAGTTTTTAGTGAAAAATGCATAAGTATTAATAAATGCATTTACCACATGATTTGAGGCCCCAACCGATTATAAATCGGATTAAAAGAGACTATGCGATATATCTTGAGCAAAAATTAATAAGTCTAATTTTAGGGATCAGCTTTTTCCCAGATCCACCAATTTTTCCACTACAATGTCACTACTTTTTATATATCCTTTTCACCATATTACCATATTGTCCACCAGCACATTCACTATTCATCACCATTATATCTATCATATCCAAAAAGTGATGGACAATTACGTTGAGAAAAGTCTCTTTATTAATAAATAGTGATGATTTTTGATTTGGTTGGTGTGGTTAATGTGCTAGATTTTTGCTGGACAATATGGTGAAAAAGAGATTGAAAAATTGGACATTGTGGTGGGAAAAGTCGGTCCCCTAATTGTATTTGACTGCAATTCAACAAATTGGAAGAATTGGCCTAACTCAAGTTAATCAATCGAAAGACACTTACTCGTGAGGCTCTTTAGTTTGGTCTAAGTTTCGGCTGACTACTTCAGACCACTCCAATCTTTCTATCGATTTACTCTAAAGCTAACTTATGGGTCATAATTTTATAAAAAAAACGCGATTGTAATACAGTAGTTGTACATAAATGTATTATTAGTTGATAACACTGTTAATAGACAAATGATTTAAATAAAATGAGATTTGAAGTTCCATTGCAATGAAATGAAATAATTGTTTTGACTAATTTTGGATTAGTAATTCTGGTTATTTAGACGCACTTAAACCAAAACAATCTAGTTATCTTTGAAATAGTCACTTTTCCTGGAACTGCTTTCTGCTTTCTGTGTAATATAATAGATTGTAGATAAGATATTATATTACAATACATATTACTAGTCTAGAGTGGAGTGGTTATAAGAAGCGATTAACTTCATCAGTCAAGATGGCTTGGAACTAATTTATTTTTCATAATAAAAACTTGATTTAATACAATAGTTTAGAAAGTTTGTTTAAGTTTGAATTGGACCAACAGGCAAAATAAAACATGTCAAACTCGGGTTTATTATCAGCTGGATCACTACCTTCCTATGATGGAGCCAAAATACCATCTCTTCAGCCCAATGAACAACATTCAAACACTAAACCAAGCAACACTGAAGGTAAGCTTTTTGTTATATTAATAATTTTACTGAGAATTTCAATGAGATCAGAAATCGAATAGCATTTTTAATTATTGTTTTTAATCATTATTTCGAAAGATAATTGGATGACACTACCACTGGCTTCAAATTGTTCACCAGGATTGGAATATTTAACTCAAATTGATAAATTTTATGTCGTCAAGAATATTGATCGTCGGGCATCAAAGATCACATATATCATTAAAAACGGTTCAGCCCAGAAAGTTTATACTGCAGTTGAAGGTAAGATGCCAAGCCAAGTAATTTTAGCCATTTCTCTTCGTTTTTTATCCTCTCTTTTCTGCTTAGATTACGATAAATGCTGCAAGATTTGTTGTAACACTACCAGACCATTCGATATAAGAGTTCTCGATTCCCAGGAACGTGAAGTTCTTAATTTCCATCGGTAAATCGTTTTCACTTTTTTTCCAAAATCATCTTGTATTTTAATACATACAATACGGCTGTCAAACTTGGGTGGGTCTTTCAAGCTGATTGCAGATGCTTTGAATCAATATCAGCTTCATTCAGATTTGTCAAGGCAGATCATGGCATTTGTAATCGTGTTTCTATGCATATATTTTCCTTTTCATTCAGCCCAGTTCTTTTCAATTTTTTCGATTAAGTATATCGCAGTATTAACTTCAGACTTTCAGATATTTTCATTCTTCCACTTTTCTTTCTTGTTTTGAACCTACCAATGAAGACATTAGAGATGTTTCCAGACAAAAAATGTGTTGATCAAATGATTGAATTAAGTACCATTGATTTAATTGTCTTTTTTCCCATTTTTTATGCAGACCTTTAGGATGTCAATCTTGTTGGTGCTTCTGTTGCCTTCAAAGTGTAGAAGTCACAGCTTCTGGCGTCACATGTGGTTTCATTGAACAATCATGGAGTCTTTTTGTATCCAAATTCAGAATCTGTGATGCTACTGGAAAAACTGTTTTAGTGATCAAAGGACCATACATCAATCAGATTGTGACAAAATTCCAAATATTTTCCAGTGATGGTAAAACTGAAGTTGGCAATGTTTCAGCGTTAAGGGCAATGGCATTACAAGAACAATTTTCCGATGTTGTTCACTTTAGCGCCTCATTTCCAATGGATCTAGATGTTAATATTAAATCTGTATTAATGGCTGCTTCCATTCTAATTGTAAGTATATTGATTGATAAGATATTATCTGATAAATTTCGGTTGATCAATTATCTGATTTCGTCCTTTTTTTAGGATTGCTTGTTCCTTAAAAGCGCACAGGAGATTAGAGCCATTCATGCAGCTCAAACAGGATTCCATCTTGGACATTGTTTATCCATGTGTTTGCATTGATTAATTCGTCTGCCTTGAGAAAATATTCGATGTTGAACTATTCAATAACAATATTGATGTTTGAAAATTGAAATTTCCAAGATTGACCAAATGTTAATAAGTTTTCATTTGGTCCGATGCACTCGAACTGTTTCACGACTCAAATTTGATAACTCTCAACACTATGATGCCATTGTGACATAAAATTTTGTGTTTTTCATGAGATCAGCAAGAACAAATTTTGTGTATTTTTAACTAATTTTAAATCATCAATTGATTGTTTTTTGTTCTCGACCACAAATCGACCAGCATAAAGCTTGGCCTTAAAGTAACTCTAAAATGTTACGAGTGAGGTCAATTTAAAACAATTGTACGGATTATAAGCTTTTTGTGATCAGTGATATTAAAAGGCCATTCAGAGCTTGAATTGATACCGATATTTGTTTTAATTTTTTTGTCATTTTCGGGGTTCTGTTCATTGATGCTTATACAGGCCATGTATCATAGACATCGTTCAACTTTTACACTCGAGAGTTCTTTTAGTGAATACAATAAAATAAGTGTTTTTCATGCATAAATATTACCACCAATGCCATCAACTTGAGCAAATAAACGGATTCAATGTGAATCATCTTCAATTGCGAATGTTATATTTGGTCTCGATTGAAATCCTATTATAATATTTGGGTACATATAAGGCCATTCTTTGTGGCAGAATTCAACTCTTTCCGTTTCAGTCTTTCCCCAATCATCAATATTCAGTATCATCGCCGACTTGTTTTCTTGCAATGTTTTCCATCTAGTTTCACCAATCATCGGAGTCTCACTGGAAACAAATATTGAATAAAAATTATTGAGTTCATTACCCAATGGCATTAATAAACTCACCCATTCTCAGCAAAATAAGTCCAGATTTTCATCATTTCATGAGTTAATAACGCATCTTTTTGTGAACAATTAGGATTTAATAGATGTTCACCGAAAACATAAGCAAGATCAGCTCCATGATAAGTTCCTATCCATTCAGGAAAATTCCAAGGGTCAGATATTGGCCTTTGAGTGTGATAATAAGCATACACTTTACCACCCTGTGTACCTAAACTAGAAGCATATTGAAGTCCAAACACATAAGTTGGACAAATGAATGTGGCGTCGCTGTAAGCTTTTTCAAGTCGAGACCTGAAATCTGAGTTGTTAGTTTCAGAACCAAAGTAGAGTTCATGGAAATAGTCAACTGATTTAGAATCAAAAATGCGACTCAAGTAGATTTTAGCATCTTGATAAGATATTGGCTTAGGTGTCACTGAGATATCAAAGGCTATGGGATCAATAGCCCCCGTGTACAACGAACCGTCGTTTTTTTCAACGCCCAACAGAATGTCAATCGAATTATCAAATAGTCCTTCTGCAAAAGCTTTGGATGGTTCGTAAGGCAGGAAATCGTCACCCACTGCGAAGGTATATGCCATTGGCTTACTATTTATATTATGCAAAATTTCGGTTGCTGGCAAATTCTGCATACATTCAAGAATATCTTTCGATTTTGAGCATGATGTTTTGTTGTAGAGTTTCCAAGAATCTGATATCAAGGTATCAACATTGTGATACCGATAAACTGTTCCTGATTCAAGAATAGCTCTTTTGAAAAGTCCTTTTGAAAGTGGAGACAATACATGAGCAGAGACTGCTACTGATCCACCAGATTGACCGAAAATTGTTACACTATTTGGATCACCGCCAAACTTTTCAATGTTTTCATGGACCCATTTCAAAGCAAATAGCTGATCCTTCAAACCAATGTTTGAAGGAATTTTAGGTTCCTCAGCTGCAAAGTTGATAAAACCAAATGCATTGAGACGATAATTTATAGAGACGAGTACAACATCATGTAATGAAACCATTGGAAGTCCTCCGATAACTCCAGATCCTGTTGTAAGTCCACCGCCATGAATCCAGAAAAGCACTGATCGTTGTTTGACTGATGAGCTATTAAAAGTTGATTCAGTTACATAAATATTGAGATAGAGACAGTCTTCACTGGTTCTTAATAGACCACTGTCTGGTTGAAGACAAGCTGGACCTGGATCAGTCACTGATTTAATCTCAGTCCATGGGTCTGGTTTAACTGCTAACTGTAATCTTAATTTGTCAACGGGAGGCTTTGCATAAGGAATACCGAGAAACTGGTAGACACCAATCGATTCATATTCAGTAACTTTACCTTGGATGGGACCACTAGTCAAATTAACTATTGGAGTCAAATTTAGTCCATGAATGGGTGAAAAAATTAAGCAAAAAAATATTAAGATACCCATATCCAATATACAAAATCAGTAGTTATTTTTCCAATTTAACAGAAAAAACACAGAATCAGATAACCCCCTACATCATATATGGCTTTATATACCTTTATATCTAAAAAAATCAGTAAATTATGATTGAGAAATGGTGAGAATATGAAAACAATGGATTTCAGTGAACATGTATTGAGGAATTTCCCTTAAATTTATAACCACGACAATTTGATTATTTGTAAGATTGCTTAAAAGAGTTTTGCTCAAAAGAAAAAATAAGACTTCTCTATTTTTTGCCTTCGAATCAACTTACAATACCCCCACCAATGTCCCTTCGTGTTTTTGTGCTTTTATAGGGATTCTAATTATTGTTTAATCGTTTTAAACAATTGTGACTTATTGTGCAATTTGTGCTATTTGCCATATGTTAATGCATTAGTGCCAAGATGCAAATCATGCAAAATAAGCAAAAATTTTGCCATTGATAAACTTAGCTTACAATTCGAGTCCGAATGCAAGCACAAAGTTATCACCATTCTATTTATTGTGCGACAACCTAATTTACCAATCGACTTCAAAGAATCAAAAGAAAAGACACTTCCTTACCGAAGCGTATTCCTTCCTTATTGTCAATTCATCGAGCGAGAGTGGGCATTGGTAAAAGATCATGTAGAGATTTGTTTAGAAGGAGCAAAACAACAGCAAAGACAAATTCCCGACAGCAAAAAGAAAATCAGAACTTTAACATAGTAACTTAGTTCTGCTCGAAAAGAACATCATGTCAAACAAACTTGAATTTAAGTACGAAGGACCTTATCAAATCACTGATAAAATTGGTGAAACAACTCACTACATTAAAAAGGATGATTTAAAACTATTATGAGCACATGATTTACAAATCAAGCCTTACATTCAAGAAGAAAAATCAGAACAAAAAAGAAAGTAAACTCAGAACTAAGGTTATCCGAACAAGGAGGAATAGAGTCTCATTAATGTTGCTAGCATTACTTTTCTTCTCCGCATTGGTTTGTGGAAACCAGTACGGAGCACCGTTAGTTTGGCGAGCAACTGACAATAAACTTTTAGAAGGTAAAAAACAAGTAACCTTCTTCGTAATGCTAGTAGACCCATGTAACCCAAAACATCTAACTGGTCACCTCCTGAAGACATTTAAGCTCAATAACAATGAATGGAAGAATGGCTCAATACCAGCAACAATGCCACAATCAACATAAAAGTAAGTTTCCCTAACAGTAGTCTTATAAAGTCCGGTTTTGAGCCGAGTTGGTTTTTCTGGACCAGTCCGCCTCTGGGCCAATGATACCGTCATACGGTATCAGTATTTTCAATGTTACAGTGTGGCTAAACTAAACCTAGCACTAAATACCATCTTTCGATGGGGTTTTTAATACCATCATTCGATGTATCCAATTTATTCGTCTAACCTAACTTTAGTACGAAGCTGTCCGCTCTGGAACAGCTTAACTGGAAGGTGTCCGCTTCTAGGTCAAGATTAATACCGTCATACGGTATTAGTTTTTTCAATGTTACAATGTCTCAATACCAACATACAGTGTGCCTAACCTAAGTTAATATTTCCTTCCCCCCAATCAAACTTGTCCGCTCTAGGACAACTTCGATGAATCGATGAAAACTATATAAGGCAGTAACAATCAAATGATCAATCAAAAATGAGAATGCTCACAAAGAAGAAGGTTGTTTTCGGGATCTTAGTGATCGTAATTATAGTCATTGTGATATTAGTTCATACTTTCTATCAACCAACAAGTGAATATGACATCAAACTCGCTTAACTTTACTATTGCTAATATTGTAAGTCTATGGAAGATAGACGGACTAATAAAATTAGAAATGGATAATTCTAAGCGTAAGAAGAAATTCAACGCTCAAGTTATAAGAAAACAAGGTGTATTCCTTGTTTTTGGATCAGGCAAAGTGATTGCTACAGGCTTTAAAGATGTAACTAAAGCCGGTTCAGTTCTTCAAGAACTGTACCCGGACAATCATGTCAGCTTTGTCAAAGTTGTTAATATTACTGCACATAGTTTCGTGCCCTATACTTTCAATATTCGGGAGATGATAGACTCCTATCAGGATACTACGTACGAACCTGAGATTTATCCAGCAGTTTACATTAAACTGAATGGATTAACTCTGATCTATTATTCAACCGGATCAATAATCATAACTGGCGCCAAAGAGCTTTCTCAGATAGATGGCGCGTTAGTCCAATTCGTGATGGGTATTTAAGCAGAGAAGAAACAAAGCTCGAGATCATTTCAACGCTAACTACTAACATGTCTACTTGGAAAAACTTCACTCTCCTTGATGGAGAAACTACTGTTAAAATTTGTTACGGTGCTAAAGTTAAACGTATAGATATACGGAAGATTATTAATGATAAACCATCGAGATATGGTGTATCTTTAACAGGAGCGGAATTACTATACATTCATAATTTCTACAAAAACTTTTCGGATGGACCTTTGCAAGCACAGTATTTCAATGTGACAGTGAGAAAGTATTCGAACAATTCGATGGAGATAGAAAAAATGGTTGTTAAGTCATCACACATTTATCACTCTGGGATAAAATCAAGCCATTCATCCCAGTTTATTTGGTATAAGAGGAAATAGCAGTTGATCAATTCATCGATTTATATATTCTTTCATTTGCCATGGATGCCGAGAAAATGTTAACAAGACAATGGCCTACCAGTGCATTCCTGACCAGTGATCCAGATAATTCAATTGTTTACCAATTAGGATTAGCTCAAGCACAAGAGTTCAAGAATAGAAAGATTGATATCGATTCTTTGAATCGATTCATCGGATCCAACAAGGAGCTTTTCAGCTCCCTCGTCTCATTTATGTATAAATAGACGTGTCTTTGCTCTCATCTAGCATTTGACCGTCAGTTATCATGGAAGTCATTTGTGCTTACTTCGATATCCAAGGCTTTACCATTAATGGCGATTTTCAGCCTCGTGAAATATGTTTGTTAAGTGATTATCTTACTTTAAACTTTCTAGTCAGTCAAAAGGATTGTGAACCCACAGAAAAAGAACAATTACAAATCGAATATTTAACCAACAAGTTCCATGGACTTAGCTTATGTCCCAAAAGAGCAATCAATGCGGACTATGTCAAAACAATCATTAAATTGTTTTACTATTTTTCAAAGGATGGAAGCAAATATAGGATCGCATGTAAATCCAAAGAAGCGGAGGAATATCTGGATTCATTGAGTCTACCAGCTTTCAATATACTCACAGTCTATGGTGCAACGCATAAAGAGATCCATAGAAACCAATTACCATTTACTCATCACAATAGGGATGATCCCTCTCTCAAATGTTCACTAAATATTGTCCAAGATATGAAGACCTTCATCGATAATCTTGGTTTAGGTCAAATTCTTTGGATAATCTTTGAGCATTTTCAGCCTTTTCTTTATATTTGAAAAAAACAACGGGAAAAAATAACTGGAAAAAACTACGGGAAAAAAATAACTGGAAATATCAGGTTAGCTGGAAGTATCAGGTTAACGGCAAGTATCAGGTTAGCTAAAAATTGTTGCCTAAACTCAACCGCTACAATAATAGATGATCTTTGCGAGCACTCTAAGTTGAGGATTGATAACTTTGGAAAGGTCAATTGCTTTTTATATACTTTGACTGTGACAGAAAATTTAGGTCTTTTTTTCAACCTTAATTCAAGCTTAAAAAATCAAATTCTATTTGATTTTGACCATTCCTGGTTAATTGTTGTGGTTTTTTGATGATTATTTCTCGTTTAAATTTTTGTAATCGCAATCAGGAAAAGAAATGAAAGAAAGAGACATAAGTGACGCCATCTATGGTCAGTCACTGAAAGTGAAAATCGAAGGTGCTGCCATCTATTGATGTTCAAAAATTAGATAATACTATTGTTTAATTAAATACTGACTATACTTAACATTACCCAACTGTAATTATAAGAAATTGTGCTCAGTAGAGGTTAAGTATAACTTGGCTTTATAAATCATGACCTGAATAGGCTTAAAAACATGCTAACTAGGCTTAATTGTTGGGTCAATAGATGAGTGGTAGCTTAATTGTGGTATATAATGGTCATTGGTGGCTTAATTGTTGGGTCAATAGATGAGTGGTAGCTTAATTGTTGGATTAAATGGTCATTGGTGGCTTAATTGTTGGGTCAATAGATGAGTGGTAGCTTAATTGTTGGATTAAATGGTTATTGGTGGCTCAATTGTTGGGTCAATAGATGAGTGGTAGCTTAATTGTGGTATATAATGGTCATTGGTGGCTTAATTGTTGGGTCAATAGATGAGTGATAGCTTAATTGTGGTCAAAAGTATGCTGAAGTATGCTAACTATGCTTAATTATTTGATTAATTAACCATTTATTGGTTAATTAAAGGTCTAATACTTAATTACTTATTCCGTTATCTTTGAATTCCGCTCCATTTCGGTCTCGGGCTGATCTATGTGACTTATTTGATAGATGGCTCTGGTTCCGCTTTGTTTACATCGGTAAAAAGTTCGATTTCAATCCCATTCTAACGTAATCTCTAGTCCCCATCACCATCAACGTGCCTTCATCTTCACCTTTAATTAGTTTAATTTAGTTTATTTATTTATTTTTGTTAAATTATTATCAATGCATTAATTATGCCAACCCGAGGGTAAGTACTTTTTTAATTTAATTCACTTTTGATCTTTTAATAACCTTTTTTCTCTTTTCAGTCAATCATCTCCCCTTCATGTTCAACTCCGAAGAGTTTTGGCTCATCTCGAGTCTGTCCTGATCGCCGTCCCCTCCTTCATCATCCGAACCATCGAGCTTGCGATCGAAAGGGTCAGGTCGTATGAGGACCAGGAGGCGCGAATCGAGCGCATGTTGGTGAAACCAGCGCCTGTTGGCGCAAAACCAACACCTTCACTCCAAGAACGAGGAGCGAAGAGATGAGGTGGAGGAGGTCCGCAATGAACTGGCCGAGAAGGACCAGTTCATCCGTTATATTGATCTGCGGTGTGAAGCCGCC